TGTTTTTCATATTTGTCTTTCTTACTGTTGTCTTTATTTGTGAATTACCAACTCACTCAAGTTACCATTTTATAAAAAACACATTTGTTGAACTATGGAAATATGTACCTGTCTAGTGTATATGCAATTGAAGAGAATCGATTGTCCATAAAAAGTTACAGACACTTATATAAACAATTATGTAAGCTTCCTTTGATGGTTTGTCTTATTGCACACTCTTGAAGTGAGTTATACGAACTACACAATTGAAATTCTACTTATCAGGCTATCTTCTAGATAACACTGAAGGTCTCGCTTGCAACATATTGCTTGGTCAGTCAGAGTCACCCAATAGATTGAATTATAAGCTAACAACCCCACAACACTTTCTTCAGCACAGTTTTTTGTTTAACAGCTATCGTTGAATAGCTTCATGAATTTATTTTTCCAAAGCCCAGGTTACCTGTTTCTGAGTTTTGTTCACTTGATTTCTACCGTGAGTAGCAAGTCTTCCACGGAATGCAGCTCGTACAAATTCAGTATAGTTTCATTATGGGAAAGGGAAATTCCAAACTAAGCTACCAAATATCAAAAACACCTAAGCACAGTGAGATATCACCTATGGAAACTTAATGTGCTTAATGTCACTGTTGCATCCGTAATAAGAATTGAAGTAGCCTATGTCTGTCTTTTCAGTAAATTTTGCATGCTCTAGTTCCTTAAGCATCTGTATGTTTGCACCATGTTAGGATTACATTTTCATCTGTAAATAATTTTGAATAATTTTAAGTGATCACACTTATTATTTCAAAGATCAATCTACAATCTGTGGACGATGACCATCCGGCGGTTCTCAGCACTTTAGTGCCTTCTGAAGGTAAGTTGGGTCACCAAATAGAAAACTTCGTTGTAAAAGTGCCGTCTAAGACCAATGACCGACCACAATCTGAGGACGACGACCATCCCGTGGTAATTCTCAGCACTTCAGTGCCGTCTGGAGGCAAGTTGGGTCACGAAATAGAAAGCTTTGTTGTATAGTAGCACCATCTAAGACCAATGACTGACTACAACCTGAAGACGACGACCATCCCGTGGTAGTTTTTATCCCTTCAGGGATGTCTGGAGGGACGTTGGGTCACCAGATAGAAATCCTTTGTCGCAACAGCATTGTCTAAGGCCAATGATTGACTATGATTTGGGGACGGGGACGATCACGTGATAGTCCTCAGCATCTCAGTGCCCTCTGGAGGTCCCCCAATGCCCTGCGGATGTCTCTCAGCACCTTCCAAAACGAGCCTACAAGAATGGTTCAAGCATGTCCAGCCTCTACATGCACTTAGCAGGACTATATTATCTTTTCTTTCACTGTGGCAGTTGCAACTATCTATAGGGAAGAGGTTACGGGTTCCGAAAATCACTTGCCTAAAACAAAAACCTGGCTCATTGAAAGAGAACACACTATAGAAATGGCAAAGCACAATCTAGCATCATGCTCTCTGGTGGGAGCAACAACTCTGTAAATTATGAACTTAAGAAAAAAAAGAGGAAAATATTAAATACAAGGGTGATTAAAGGGACCATGAAATGACCTTTTTACTTTTTCCAGACAACTTTTACATTAAACCGTCAATGTTTACTGAAGGCCGAACAAGCATCCGTTTTCGTCTCGGTTTATTAACTTCTACACAAAAAAATTAATGAAATATCGACTTTTTCTGTCTCTCCAACTGACCGCAAAACAAGCCGTGACCAACGAGGTATAGGGCCTTAGAGTGATAAACTGGCAGCTGAAAGTGACCCCCAATTGGCCGCCGCCATGTTGTACAATTTTGACCACTAGACTCGTGACCAGGTCAAATCTATGACGTAACCAGACCAAATCTCAGGCGTCAACGATAAGATGGCAGCGCCCAGTACGTGTCGGAAGCGTTGTGGGCGTTGATCGGAGTGTGTGGACTTCGTGTGCGGAATTCGGTTTTTCAGGGTTTTGTGTGCTCTCCCGCGTAGGAATAACGAGAAGTAAGAGGGAATGAGGCTTTTCTTTTTTATTTAATTCAGAGTAAGCCAGATTCGGTCCCGTGCTTCTCGTACGGGCTCGGATCACTATCTCGGACATCGCTCGGAAGTTCGAGTTTAATTAAAATATCCGCAATCGTTAACCACGGGAGCTCCTCGATAATCGCTGTGTCGGAGGATACGTCGAACCCATCCGGAACGCGGAGTCTAAAGGTATGTAGGACGTAACCAGAACGCGGAGTTCTAACGGTGCGGCGGACGTGCCCGGGCAATTTTCTTAGCTCCACGGTCAAGATTCGCATTTGAAGCAGCGAGAGGTGTTGAAATCTCCGAACTGCTCGATGCTGAGCTAACTACGGACCACGTCACTACGTGATCCGTAGTGACGTGAAAAAGACCGGCGGCGGTCACTCCGGGCGGACGGCGGCTCCCGGCCGCCTGCCGGGTGCCTTCTGTGAAGGGGCGACAGTCGTTTAAGCAGTACTGTACCAGCTTCTCTCTTAGTTATGTTGTTTTCGAGTAGCTTCCCGATCACTAAACCCCGCAAACGCGTGCCGAACTCTCAAAAGGTGTCTGCCAACCTGGAAAGCCTTGAACTCCCAGGGAATTTCGGATCATCTGGGAAAGTCGGGGAATCATTCAAAAAGTGGGCTAGATAAGGGAAGACGACTAGTGAAAGCGGCATGGCGGTTGCTCGTCGGCACGGCCATGCTGAATGACGTTGCCGAAATGTCATCCTTCGACTCAGAAACTCAAGGAATTTGATCAAAATAGTCAGGGAGAAACTTGGAAAAGTCGGGGAATTTGAAATCAGTAGTTTGTTAGACACAATGTTTGATTTTCTTGGCACTCCACGCGTTTTTACACACGACAGGCACACGCCCGTGTATCACACGGCGGCCAGGCCAAGCGGCTGCCAGCCACTTATGCAAGGTTGATAAGACGCAAGTGTAGAACGCTTTCGGACTGCTGTAAATACACCAGCGGGAGCGTCCGGCCGCAGTCCAACTGCCCACGCTAGGACACCCGACACAGACTCCGCGTCCTGGGTACGTCTGACGTATCTTTAGATTTTGTATCCTAGGTACGTCAGACCTATCTTTAGACACAGCCCCTGATAATAGTGCTGAATAGGGTCACGTTCAGTGCGCAAGTCACTTTATTACACTCGGAGAGCAGAATTCCATTCCCGTTGCGCAGGTAGTTCCCCAGCTAGGCATGCACTTGAAGACTATGTTTCACTCTCTCATAAAGCAAGCTTTGCGGGACCCCTCCGCCCTTGTGCACGCATTTGCAGGTCGTGTCGCCTTTCCTCACGTAACTCCCGCAGGTTCAGCGAGTTGCCGATCCACTGCAGCCCCGGCGTCGCTCGGTACATACAAGAGGCGGCTCACGTCGGTCGTCCAGCAGCACACTGGAGGAACACAAAGCTCGCAGCCTCCTTGGTGCATGCAAGAGGAGGTTGAGCACACCTCCAAGCTCTTCTGACAAACATGTGCACTCTAATGAGACCGGTGTTGCACCCCGATTCCTAGAGATGTGGTCGCACTGGCAGTCTTGTTGGTCCTTGGGGGCCGTCGAGGAGTGCCAGAAAGCAAAATTCCATCCTTCTTGCGCAGGTAGTTCCCCAGCTAGTCCCTTCCTTGAAGACGACGTCGCACCCTCTCTGGAAGCAAGCTTCGGGATGCTCATGTGCACCCATTTGTATTTCGTGTCGCCTTTGCTCACGTAACTCCCGCAGGTCCAGCGATTGCCGAGCCGCTGTAGCCCCGGCGTTGCTCAATCCAAACAAGAAAAGGCTCACGTTGGTCGTCCGCCAGCACACTGGAAGGACGCAAAGCTCGCAGCCTCCTTGGTGCATGCAAGACGAGGTTGAGCACACCTCCAAGCTCTTCTGACACACGTGTGCACTCCAATGAGACCGTGTCGCACCCCGATTCCTAGAGATGTGGTCGCACTGGCAGTCTTGTTGGTCCTTGGGGGCCGTCGAGGAGTGCCAGAAAGCAGAATTTCCTCCTCCTTGCGCAGGTAGTTCCCCAGCTAGTAACTTCCTAGAAGACGACGTCGCACCCTCTCTGGAAGCAAGCTTCGGGATGCTCTTGTGCGCCCATTTGCAGGTCGTGTAGCCTTTGCTCACGTAACTCCCGCAGGTCCAGCGAGTTGCCGAGCCACTGCAGCCCCGGCATCGCTCGGTACATACAAGAAGCGGCTCACGTCGGTCGTCCAGCAGTACACTGCAGGGACGCAAAGCTCGCAGCCTCCTTGGTGCATGCAAGACGAGGCTGAGCAGACCTCCAAGCTCTTCTTACGCACATGGGCACTCCAATGAGACCGGTGTCGCACTGGCAGTCTTGTTGGTCCTTGGGGGCCGCCGAGGAGTGCCAGAAAGCAGAATTCCATCCTTCTTGCGCAGGTAGTTCCCCAGCTAGTCCCTTCCTTGAAGACGACGTCACACCCTCTCTGGAAGCAAGCTTCGGGATGCTCTTGTGCACCCATTTGCAGTTCGTGTCGCCTTTGCTCATGTAACTCCCGCAGTTCCAGCGAGTTGCCGAGCCGCTGTAGCCCCGGCGTCGCTGGTCGTGCATCCTGGTGCTGGTCGTGCATCAACCACCGCTGCCCATTTCCGCTGAGTGCTTGGGTGTGGTAGCTAGACGTGCTTTCGCAGAAAGCTGAATGCCTTTGCCGAGTAAAAATGGAGCGTGAGGGAAAACTTGCGCACATCCTCTGTACATGCGTTTTTGTTGCGCCTGACTCTTTTTAAGACGAGGTTGCGCATTGTGTTGGTGAATGCATTGTCAAGTATGTCAACTGCTGGCTTAGGAAGTCGTTTCCTCAGTTCACGGAGCAGCGTGTTCAGCTTCCTAATCCTGGCCGTCTTCCGATTGATCTTCTTCTTTGCCTGTTTCAACAGTTTCCTCGCCTTCTGCAGCTTTTGCCTACTCGTGGCCAGGACCCTGTGCAGTCGTGGTGACACAGCTCCGTACGTCAATGCGTACATGACTGTCAAAGTCACGACGTCAGCGCGCTTCAACCTATGCCGTCACGACATCCGGCGCGTGATAACATGAGAAGGCGATCACCGGATTTCCAAAGCTCTCGTGTCAAGTAACATTTGCGTACGTAAGGGACTTTGCCCACAACATCGGGACATATATAAACATCCGTTTTGGTCTCTGTACCACGCCACAGTTCGTTATAATTTTTATACGGCCCATTCGCATATGGACTGCAGTTTCATATAAAGATGGGAATTATACGTTTGTAACCAGCTCTTTCGATATGTCTCTAAATTATGAAATATCTTGCAGGTACAAAGGCAGACCTGCGACAGGAGAACAGCGCAAACGAGGAGTTGGTTTCCAAAGCAGCAGGCAAGAAGTTGGCATCTAAGATCAAAGCGTACAGCTACGTAGAATGCTCAGCGAAATCTGGAGCCGGTGTCAAAGAGGTCAAAGCATTTTCACGTCATCGTTTTTTTTTTTTTTTATTTCCCCCTCTTGAGTTTACAGCTATCGTCTCAACAATTTATTCTTCCTCACCGAACTAAGTCAGTATAAGTTCAAGAGACAATGGTGATGTAACTATCCAAAATTTTATATTCTCCTCTTTTTGCTTCGCGAGTAGTTCCCGCTAGCGAATCCTTTCGAGGTTCCGTGATCTTGTGAGAAAATCCTAAAATTTATCAATATTTTTGGGTTATCCAGTGCACATTTATCCTATATCATAATTAAATCCTGTCCAATTTATTTTAAGTTTTTTTTTTAACTGTCAGAAATTTTATTTGCGACGAGCAAATTTGGTTTTTTAGTCTTTAGTTTTCAGACCGACTAAAGTTTTTTTTTCTTTCCTGTAGTTTATTTTTGTTTGTGATTTTTGATTAAACTGACATGCCGTCAAAAAAGACGGATGTTTTATTTAGGGTTATGTGTTTTTTCGCCGCAGGTATTTGAAGAAGCTGCGAGGTCTGTTCTGCAACCAAAGTCCAGCAAGAAAATGAGGCGGAGTTGTAGGATTTTATAACTCTTTTAAAAGTATTCTGGATTTTTTTTATTTACTTTTGTTTCCATGCCGGCATGGACAACTAACAAGGCGTTGTAAAACAACAGCAACAACAACTAAGTCCTCCTTGTAAATATACATAAAATAATGTTAGAATATCAATGGTTTTACTCAATTGCTACACCATTTCATTACGGTCGCAATAAAAATAAATTATGCATCAATAACAGTATAGCGCAACTTCCCATCTTCATCGGGTGGCACATTTTTTGCGTAATAGAAAACGTTGGTTTTAAATGGAAACAAGCGGTTCTGTATATGAAGAAAAACAATTAAATCGTCTTCATTCGACCTCCAGGATTACGAATGTCAAAATTATATTTCATATTGACAACAGCGCTTTCAAAATAGCTCGCTGAAGCCCCTCCTTCCCGGCGCGTTCGGTGGTAGGAAAGAATCGTGACGTTTGCAAGTCCGGCTTCAGGGCGCTGCCATCTTGCTCGCTGGGGTGCGCTTGGACGCGTCCTAATCCGATTAAAAAGCCTTGTTAAGCCGTCGTAATCGGATTATGGCCGCGCCCACTGGGCAAGATGGCGGCTCCCTGAGACCGGAGCGCTTGCGCCAAGCGCTCATCGTACACAGTTGCGTTGACACGCAGTCGATCGCAGTCGATGACGCTTTGGAAAGTTATGCGAGTCTCTATTCCCTTGCTTAGCGCTACCTAGCGTTGAGGGACGGCGCGCGTCGATCGTTTGCCAAGCGACCACTCCTTGCCCCAAGGAGGCCGCCAGGCATCCCAATGTCGCAAACGCGTTCAAACGCGAATGTGCGTGTGGGCCTCCACGCAGTCAAAAACGCTGCATGCACGCGTCCCTAACAAGCGGAACGCGCGGTGCAGGAGAAACCTCTGAGTATGACGTCACACCCATCGGGTTTTTTCTCGGTTTTTCTCGTGTCTATTGATTGATACGTTCGGGTCGAACGCTCTTAATATTCAAATTCACAATACGAAAACACGCCAGAATTCACTTTCTTTCTAGAGCGCAGCTCTTAGGGGCCAGTTTCCGGCTTGAGCGGCGTCGCCGTCGCCGTCGCCGTCGGCGTAACCGCGCGGTGCATTATAGGTAAATTTCCCCGCTAAATCTAGCGAAAAACTTTCCCCGCTAGATTTAGCGGAAAGATTTCTCCGCTAAATCTAGCTTAAAAATTTTCCCCGCTAGATTTAGCGGAAAAACTTCCCCGCTAAATCTAGCGGAAAAATTAACCCGCTAAATCTAGCGGAAAAATTTCCCCGCTAAATCTAGCGGAAAACATTCCGCGCTAAATCTAGCGGAAAAATTTCCCCGCTAGATTTAGCGGAAAAAATTCCCCGCTAAGTAGCGGAAAAATGTTCCCGTTAAACCTAGCGGAAAAATTTCCCCGCTAAATCTAGCGGAAAAATTTTTCTGGGGGGTCACGTGACCCCCCAAGGTCACATGACCCCCCCCCCCCCCCCCCCCCCCCGCCCCGAGACCAGGTAACCCTCAGTACCCTTCCCTCCTCCTCCTCAAGAGCTGCGCTCCAGTTCGGTGTTACAGGGAGTTGTAAACGGCTTTCATTTTTTTAAGAACTTGTCCAGCTGTTTTTATTACAACGCCACATACGCGTATCAAAGAAGGTAAAGGATGAGATGAAGCTACTTTTTTTTTAAATTTTATGCAATACGTACTACAGTAAAATCGAGGTCAAGAAAAAAAAAATCCGGTATCAAACTGAGCTCAAATTTACTGTGGTAAGTATTTGCTTTGGTCTCACCATCGATCATCTCCCCTTTGTGTGTCTAAACTTATTGTTGTTTCTCAGCTGTAGATGAGCAATTTAGGCAGTGCAGAACAACCGCTAGCCTGGGGTCTTTAGCGTGCTCCATGGAATAGTGATACACGACCTCCAGCCGGTACGATGCTCATCCAGGTCGAAATGGGTGGGGGTGGGGATTGAAACAAGGATCTCTGGGTTCTGCAGCGTCACGTGCAAACTTCTATCGAGCAATTCCTTTTAGCTATAGCCAAAAAAGAAAGAAAAGGAAGTTTTGTCGTAATTCAAGGATACTTGCTAAATGTACAGAGAGTAACAGTCGTGACCTAATAATTTATATGGTAAGATAGAAAAAAAAGGTACTAGGTAAACAAGTTACGGTAAGTACGAGTTCTGTTGAGTTATATTTCTCCCACTGTGTGCAGTTCTCATTTGAACCTCCTATTAGATGACGACAGTAAGACGCCATCGAGACTCCAAAAACGTGATCAGCGCCGCGAGTTTTTATTTATTTATTAATGCGGGAGCATTAACTGTCCCATGGAGCGAACCGGCCTTTTGAAGCCGCGCGCCAAACGGCACCTAAATTCCCCTGCCCCAATGGAGCGAAGCCTGTCATCTGTAGCAGCGATTCGATGGATAGGCTCCCATTGGTTGGCGCTCGCCATAGCTTCAAGTAACGAGGCTCTCATTGGCTGGCACTTGGCCAGGGTCGGATTAAGAAATTTCGGGACCCTGGGCTAATGCTGGCCTGGGCCTCGAAATTTGAGATGATGATAATGACGATGATAATGATGACGACGACAATGATGATGATGAGGATGTTGGTCAAAAAGGGAAAGTTTCAGTAAAAGAAAAAAAAAAAAAACAATTAAAATCGTCCGCGCTTCGAATGCCTAGAAATGTACTAAGTTAGCGCGATATCTTTTAACTATACACTCCGTGCAACGCGACTGGCGCGCCGCCGCGCGGCCGGTACCGAACGTAGGCAGTGAGAACCCCAGAGAAAACGAAACCGAAACCAAGCCGCGTACGTTGGTACGCATTGAAGTCGGAGTGGTGCGGTTACGCTGGGTGCAGCAGCATGAAGTGCTTGCTGCCTGTACTGCGTCATTAAGTGCTTCAATAGTTATGCGTCGCATCTCGTGGAGACAAAGTTTCACAGTTTTTCACCTCGCCGATGTTTTGTGGAAAATGGACAACGATGGAACCGTGCCGTACGACGCTAGAAATTTGGTCTCCCGATCATGTCTGCCACTATGTCGGCACGGCTGACATATTTTAGCTACACTGCCGCTTTGCGCTCTGCGTTTGTTTTCGTACCAGTAACGCCTACATCTGTTAGCGCCGATGGGACGAACTGAAACGCCATCCCACACTCGCGGGTATGCAGTGCCAATTTCGTTGGAGGAATGCCCTCCAAAGAAGTTTCGTCCCCATCGTCCGTGTCGATGATATTTCCGAACAAGCATGGCACGCAATCTGTACTTCATGAAGAAAGATTCGAACGGTAAAAAAAATTGAAAAATATAAATCTAAAGAAAACAACAATGAAACTCGGAACCACTGGAGAATCGACGTTAGAGTATGGAAGTTTATGTGGTGTGCTTTCTTTCTTCATCAGCCTCCTTTTGGATGTGGAAACGCTGACAACCCGAGTTCTGTAGACAACAATTTTTTTTCTCGGCTTTAGAGCCACCTATTGCAAAGTGGTTCGAACTGGAATTACCGTCCACTGGTCCCTTCCTACCTGTAAAGTGTGCACCTCCCACGATGAGTGGTATTATCTGACAGCCTTTGACGGTCAAAGCCAGTTCCCATTTAGTTACGCCGCCCAAACTAAATTTCCACCTGGTTTCGCTATGCCAACTCTTTTTGTTATAATAAGTGTTGTGCCAAGTGACGGTCATGTCAAAGTACCTGTGCGTCGAAAATCAGCACCTCGCACAACAGGTTATTACACAACAGCAGGCCGCAAAAGCCCTTTGCGGGGAAACCTTGTTTTGGCCGACAACTTTGTTTTCTCGGCTTTGGAACCACCTTTCGTAAAGTTGTTTCAATTGGAAGTACAGTCCACCCTAGTCCCTTCCTACCTCTAAAGTCTCCACCTCCCCCGACCAGTGATATTCTCTTGACAGCCTTTTCATGGTCAAAACCGGTTCCCATTGAGTTACGCCGCCCAAACCAAATTTTCACCTGGTTTCCCTATGCCATCTTTTTGTTTTTGTATAATAAGTGCTGTGTCATGTTACTTTCAAAACCAAGCACCTGTGTGCCCAAATCTGCGCTTTACACAGCCCGCTATAACACAACATTTTGGGTCGAATATTGGATATCCCGTACAGCTTTATTTCTTTATTCATTAGAAACCTAACTTTCACACCTGTTGTCTCAAAGAAACTTGGCACTCCTCGTGCACAAACTTAGTGAACATCTCACTCGCATCCAAATATCATCGTTGCAGCAGTCCTAGGTTTACAGCGACGAGTGAAATAAATTTCCCACCCAGAGCAATCAAGGTGGCGGCCGTCTTGTTTTTCGGAAAATTGCTCCAACACCTTTTTTCGGCCGCAACTAAAGAAATTACTTCTAATAACGACTCAAACTCAATTTATAAGAAGTGGAGAACAGCTAGAAGCCCTTTTTAGGTCTACCCCAATACTCATGCAACGTCACCCTCAACTTATCGGCTCAAAAAGCAAAAGTTTCGTCCGTGCGCGCTTCCGCCGCCACAGCTTGGCATGCGAAAAGGCGCCGCAGGCTGCTGAACGCGCCTCACAGTCGAACGCCAGCTCCTCCGCTAGCGGCGCTGCGCGCGTTTTTCAAAGCGCCCCCTATAGTTCCCGCACTATATACAAGCAGCATCACGCAGAGCTCAATCATATTTATTCTCCTTCGCACGTGAATGACACTAAGGCTGAAAATTAGCTAATCCAATCAAATCTAAAAAAAAACACGTTACGTCACTGCGTTATCCGCGCGTGTGTGCACGCCTTCAACCCAACAGAACCAATCAAAAAGCAATGCGCAGAAATCCCTGTGTTTGTGGCTCCTCCCACCGTAGACGTTCCACGCAGCAAGTGGCTCTTGAGGATGATTGCCATATGTCTTCTCTCTAGGCAGGGCCGTGCTGTGGGATAGTCTGCGTACAATGCTTTCTCGAAACAGATAATTTGAAGTGAAACAGACTATTCATGCTCGTGTGCCAAGCGGGACACGCAGTTTTGCAATCGTAAATCGAGAAGTTGTAAGGTGGATTTGGCGATTGCCAACGTGCCGCTATCCAAAAAACAAAATGCCAAGCAAAAAAAAAAAAAGAGTGTTTACAGACGCGCGAGCAAATAGGGACAACGGTAGGCTTCAAAACACCCCAATGCCACCCAGGAAGTACAGACTCGAAATATCGATTTCTAACGACCCGCAAAAAAGAAAGAAAAGTGTTATTGTTCCCTTTGTTTCATTCTGTGTCGAACCGCAGTGTAAGACTAGGGGTCTCCACAGCCAATCAAGCGCAAGTTCTCAAGTGACGTCGACTCGACACCTCTGGACTGGCGCTTGATTTGCCGTGGAAACCACTAGCCTTCCGGTCTGGTTCAACACGAGATGAAATGAAGTATGGTAAAATATGGAGTATGGAAAAAAGTAAAATGACCCTGTAGAGGGAAAAAGCCTCTCAAGAAGCCAACAGGAATTTGATGATAGTAAGTTAGAGTTCAAGAAGGTAGGGCGAGGGGAAGAAAGGCCGGAAAGTTAGAAGTAGACGGAACGCTGGAGGGGAGAGGGGGAACATCCTTCTCTCTCTAGCGTTCCGTCTGCTTCCTCCTCCCTGGCCTTCCTTTCCCTCGCCCTACCTTCTTGAGTACGCGCTGGTGACGACGAGTGGCAACTGTCCCAGGTCAAAGTGATTTACGACAAAAGCGGTTCTTTTACATGCCAGCTACAAACGCACAAGAAACTGTTTCAATGATTATTTTAAATCTGTATTCAGTCGTGACAACGGCAATGATTCAGAGTTTTTCTTTGAAGGTATATACCCAGCTTTATCTGATTTAGAGATTAGTGTTTCTGGTGTCCTCAATCTACTAATGAAACTTGACTGTAAGAAAAGCCCTGGCCCTGATGGAATTCCAAATTCTTTTCTTCGCCGTTATTCACTTTGGAGTTCAAAATACCTATCTGTCATTTTCAAAAAATCTATTTCTACTGCAACAGTGCCTCAGTCATGGAAGTCGGCTAAAATTATCCCCTTGTTCAAGTCAGGCAACAAACAGGTGGTCACAAACTACAGACCCATTTCGCTCACATCGTCTTCATGCAAACTTTTGGAACATATTGTCTATAAACAGATATCTGAGTACCTCGAGACTAATTTTATTCTTTGCCCTCAACAGCATGGTTTTCGTCGTGGTTACTCCACCTCAACCCAACTTCTTGAATTCACTCACGACATAGCTTTAGCTTTAGATAAAAGAGTACAACTTGATGCCATCTTTGTAGATTATTCTAAGGCTTTTGATAAGGTACCACATCATAAGCTTCTTCAGAAATTACAAGCGATATTAAATAATACGTCATTAGTTAATTGGATCGAAGATTACCTAAAAAATAGATCACAGTTTGTTTCATACAGGGATGTTCATTCTAGCAATGTCTCAGTTAGTTCCGGTGTCCCACAGGGATCAGTTTTAGGTCCTCTTTTGTTTTTACTTTATATTAATGACGTTGCAAATGGTCTTCAAGTTAAAATTCGCCTCTATGCAGATGATTGCGTTTTGTACAACGAAATCAACTCGGTAGATGACCATGCCTTACTAAATGACTCTCTTGAACAGTTTTTGAATTGGAGTAAAAAGTGGCAGATGGAAATTAATTTTGAGAAATCTGTAGTTATGTCATTTACTAATAAGAAGGAACCGTCTGTTTTTAGCTATGGTACTCGTAATATAATTCTGCGTCAAGTTCACGAATACAAGTATTTGGGTATTTTTTTCACGCCTAGTCTCAAATGGGATAAGCACATCAGTTCTATTTGTTCTCGTGCTCTGCAAAGGCTAGGATACGTCAAGAGAACTTTAAAATCTTCAACTAGGGAAGTTAAAATAACGGCGTACAAGACCTTGATTAGACCTATCTTAGAGTACGGTTGTGTGGTGTGGGATCCCTATCTAAAAGGTGATATAAAGCAGATTGACGCAATACAATCAAAGGCAGCTAGATTTATTTGTAATAGATATGACCGCAATTTTTCTCCTACATCTGCCATGACTGACATAGGACTTACGCCTCTTGATTCTAGACGCGCTGTAGAACGGCTCAAGCTCCTGCATAAAATAGTGAATAATAACTGTACACTTAATCGAGAAAAATATGTTAGTTTTGTTACTGAATCACGCACTAGAAGCTTCCATCCATTAAATCTTGTACCATACAGAGCCCACCTTAACTGTTTTAAATATTCTTTTTTTCCTAGAACGATAGAAAACTGGAATAACATAAATGGATCCATTCGTTGTCTCGATTTTGATAAGTTTGTGTTAGAAATACAGTAGGTGTTCTGGTATGGTGCCTGGAATCTGTACTTGAAGTGTATGTGATTGTTTTTGTAATCTTTTGATATTGCATTTTTCAAGGTTTTCTAAGTTTTGTTTGTAGGGTGTGTACATCTTTAATCGATTGTCTTTTTGAATGTACATGTATGTTTTCTCTCCACTCCTGCGATGACCTCATCGAGGTCGCAGTATTTTGAAATAATAAAATAAATAAATAAATAATAAAAAGCGAAAAATGACTCTTTTCTTCAAGTGTAGTCCTAGTCTCCAACCCCTGCATGTTTTAAAAGTAGCGCAAGGTGCGTCGCGTCGATGCACGAGGCGCGTGCAACGTTCTGCCCTTGGGAAGATCATGGCGGCACAGCGCAGCATTGAGCTAGATTTCAGACGCCATGTTCTTCCCAGAAGTGTCGCGCGGCACGTGTCTCGAGCATTTCCACAACAATGAATGGCGCCACTTGATAAAGGGGCGTTAGCGCCGGCAGCGTGCCGGTAAAAGGAACACGGTGGCGTTTGTTCGGCCATTTCTACTCCTATCGGCGCCAGCGTCTCAGGTGGCAAGAGGAGACCCTTCGACAACGCGAGGCATGCTTTCGCATTTACAACTCATAAGAAATGCTTAGGTGTCCTCGGACATCCGGCGTGCCGAAGTGTTCCGTACTATGGCATCTTCCTGACCATGCACTCGCTCCGTAGCGGCCTATCCGTGGGACTATCTCCATCAGGACCTCCGCACTGATTTGCAGCGGCCGTTTATAGTACAATTTTTTTATTCTGAAGCGTGACAGCCCATTTTAAATTGTCTTCCATTATGTTTTAAGCGAATTTTACTGAACAGATGACTTATTTTTGCCAGAAAATTGTCCTGATTTGTTGGTTTTAGAAAAGAGGCTAAATCAAAAGTCAAATTAGTCGTTAGTTGTTTACACAGCAGGAGGTTAGTCTGCCAGAACATAGCGACATTGTTACCCACTGTAGGTAAGCAATTTAGCCAGTACAGTATGACTGCTAGGTGCACCACGGAGTAGTGATACACAACCGCACGCCGGTACGATGCTCATCCAGATCGAAACAGGCAAGGGTGGAGAGAAGAAGAGAGGCTACTCAATGAGTCGATGGTGTTCACGAAATCGAGAACGAAGAAACAAAAATTGAGCAGCACAACGGTGTTATTTTTTTTTTCGGAAACTAGCTTGTGTAAACAAAGAAACTGATTTCATTTTATATACATGTAAAATCAGAACACTTTTTTAAACGAAATATTATGTTGCAGTGCCTTTTTATAAGCTGGACAAAAAAGGGGCTCACATTTTTTGCTCCACAAAAACAGAGGTAAATTATAAGCAAAGTTGTCAATCTAAATTCGTCCTACAAAAAAGAAAAAAAAAAAGTAGTTTTTCTCAAAACAATGAGTCCTGCCTTATTAGACCGTGCATGCCGAGGCGTAGGAACATACAACACGTCACAGAAACAAAGGTCATCCAACAATATCTGGACGTATCTTGTAATGCCATCTTGGCGCGGTTCGTGGTACAGGGAAGGCTAGAGCAGAGTTCGTGAACTTTTGGAAGCGTTCAACCGAGCGAAAAAATAAGATTCGGTTTCGGTATCCATATTTTTTATTCGATAATGCCAGATCATTTTATTTCCACACATATGCAAAAAAGTGAACGTGCTTTAAACTAGGACCACGACTAGGACAGTCATGCTATGATAGTGTCTCTCTTTTATCTAGCTATTCGACTGTGTTTGACGTTTGAAACTCAAGATTTTTTGTAGGTTATCACTTTTGGTGGGTTTTCGCTACGATGTTCGTAACACTGGATTGACGTAAATCGCGCGAACAAGAGATTGCGCGGGTAACACGGCCGACCTGTGAACTGTAGAATATTCCTATATCTGCCAAAGTTTACGGTTATTTTACCTTTTATTTGCCAAATCTCTAATCGGAGTTGTTTTCTCGCCGACATCTACTACACGCCGCTCAAAATTCGCTCTACCGGCAGCCATGTAGAGCTTTCGGCACCCGGAGACGCTATCTGACAACACTCGAAGGTAAATAAACCGCTTAAATAGCGTTGTTTTGCGTTGCATATGCAGACGTTTGATGCATTGTTGTTAATATAAATGCTCTTTGTCCTTCTAATTGACGCTTGCACCATGGAAACAAAGGAACATGCCTCGAAGACCAATCGTTCTTTTCAGGGTTCCCAAAATGGATCCGTCTACTCTGGCAAGCTTGAAAACGGCCGCTGTGCTTTTGGTGAAAACGGTGGAGTGTCCCATATGGTAATGTTACATGTTCTTCCAGATTTACTTCCCTGGAGGTGCTACCATAGTGAAACAAATCAGTTCCTTGGGCGTTGAATTAAGAAGACAGGCCTCCCGCAGGTCCTTTAAAAAGCCATTTCCAAAGACTAGCATATTGTTTTATTGAAAATGATTTTGGTATTTGCCTAGTATAATGTTTTAAACATTTTTTTTAATTAAATCATATTAGAATGGTCGTTCTTATTTCTGTTTTGTATGTGTTTGGCGAAGCAAAATGTAAAACCCTTAATTGGAGGATGTATCACCAAGTAAGCTTACACTAAGTGTCATTTCAAGTGATCCAAACAGAATGTCAAACCCTTCATTAAGAATGTTTTACCAAGTCATTTTACAATAACTATCATTTCAAGTGATTGCTCTTTCTTGATGTTGTGAAGTCAAATACTTTTGAAAGTGCTGATGCTCTTAAAATGTTCCGTACAAGAGGAAAAACAAACACACTGACCAAAATCTACTGCTGCAAGATGCCCAAACATCCTTTAAAAAATTTCAGAAAAGAAGCATTGGAAACATTAAATGCATATGGAAGGATGCTTGGTTGTCAAAATTGTATGTCAATTACAGCAGGACTTGGACAATGAAATTTCTCGAAAAAATGTGTTTTACTTGTTTTGAAACAGTGTTGTAATGTCAAATGCAAACTAAGTTTGTGTCAAGGTAAGTACAAAGGCATGGGAAGTTCAGTGGCAGAACGACAACCGTTTAGGCCAGGTTAACTGACTTTTCCATCTCTTACACAAGACAGCACACCCTGTTTCGTGGCACTTGCTTGTACACCAACTCAACTCTGTTAAGCCACGCCGCGGTGGTGGTGCTTTGGACATATCTTCCGGTCTGGAAGTGTTGGTAGAAGTCGCCATGTGGGACGGGCATTTCTGTGTTGTTTTTGGAAGAAACCATACCAACCTGCCTTCTTGTCAAAACGCCGTGACAGGTGCTGTACCAAAAGAGGTGGGGAGATGTGAGGATCGGTTTTCACGTGTTCTCTGCCTGCTCGGTTCGTCCGAAAACATGGATAGGTACTGTGAAAAGAGAACACCAGACACCGTTGGACCATATTTGCTTTTGCGGGAAGCACTTTGGGTTAAATTCATGAATACTTGTGGTCGTCAGATTTATTTGTCTTGTTCCAACATAAACGCTGTAAAACCATCAAGTTGCCCTGACGACCCGCAAACCACGTTCAGTTACGTCTTCACGTCCAATTGGCCGTCTGCTCTTTCAATTTCATCTGCTTGTTCAAACTGTCATCTGCTCGTTCAAACAATAGCAGCCCGCAGACCAAACATTGACCCGGTAGTTGTGAAAAGAAGTAAACGCTGGCCTCAAAAGACTTCTAAGTTTGAACATTTTTTGGGGTAAATAGGCTTGGTGTAAACAGTAGATATAAGGAGATGTTTATCATGGCTACCGATGGCCATCGCCGACTTGTTATGCCTGATTCATTTGGTCCGATTCTGCTTACGATTTTCAGTATCGACGTTGACCATCGCAGCTACCATTGATGCTTTTGCAGCCCGAGCGACGTTGCGACTGAAAATAGCAAGCAGAATCTCATCATGTGAACGAGGCTTTAGCGTCCATTCTGCAGCATTTACGCAAAATTAATTTCAGCGTGTCACACTATTTACACAAAGTTTTGCATTGTAATGAGCCTCGTTAATTTCGCTCCGGCCACTAAAGTAGGAGGACATTGCTAGGAAGACGTAGAGTCAAGAATTACAACACGAAAAAGTGCACGGGGTCTTACACCAACACTGACAATATCACATTCCAATGGTTTGTTGATGCGGGACTCGGTGCTTCCTGCCTACGCCCCATCGCTAGAGGGGCTCCGGTTTGTTTGTAAACACGAGTTGGTGTATTGGGGAGGAGGACAGACCGTGACGCCCCAAGCGGTTAACTTTACAACTACACGGATGGGGACAACAAAATACAATGACTCAGCGCTCGGCCGACATAACCGAACGCGGCGTCAGCGTTCGGCTGGAATTCGTGTTCTCCGGTGAGGGGGAGGAGGGGCTTTTTTGTTTCCATTACGGCCTGCATGAACAATGCAGCATGCACGGTCCCAGCTCCGCACAAAAGCCGAACTGGGTCAAGCTCGCATTCTCTGAGGATAGATCCGGCACTTAACGTCGCTTCGTCGATTGTTAGTATTTTTTACATTAAACTGTGCCCCGCGCTCTATTGTAGAAGATGACATGAACATGCCCATAAGGCCTGTCGGCATGTGCACAGGCCTTGTGTTGAGTAAACACCGAGCGTGGGGAAAACAAACGGGTCAGAGCGCCCCCTATAGTTCGATCTCCTGCCCAATAGCGGTCATTGGTGGTCTTTTACAATGGCAGGCAAGGGGAAGGCCATCATTCACTTTGTCTCAATTGGCTGCCTTCTTGTATGTTTCCTGGAAATGTTAGGAATTTGCTGTCTACTTTTGGCACTAACTGGTTTTCAACACTTGAAGAATAATCGGACGGCAACTGGCGAGAGCCACCTTTGAGTGAACGAGTTTGATCAGCCATGTTTATGGGATTTCTCTGCGGCTGGGCTTTATTCAGGCTTCCTACTCTGTCATGTCCCGTATACCTTGACCGAGGCAGGAAGCCAATTTCAATGTCTGTCACCAGTATGAATAAAATGCAGAATAATTTGCGATAAATATATATATGTATTTTTTACAGTTTGGAGGTGCTTGCAGACCCCTTATGCACCAACTGCCACCACCGTTTCTGCAGGTAGCATATTTTATTCAGTTGATGCTTTGGAGTGTTGCTAGCTCTGTGAGTTGAGATTGATAAAGAAGGTTTTCGTCAATACTGGAAAATGTCGCTATGCTTCAGAGGACAGGGCTGCAATTCAGTCAGCAGTTTCAGGAAGCATAATACAGTTAACTCATTGCCTACATGAGGTGGTTGTTTCTTGCACTATGCCATTTACCTAGTCATACAGGTTGTCCCTCCTTCTCTTTGATCACAAAAAGATCTGTGCCACAGATTCATCTAAATGAAGGAGAAGAGTTGCCGGAATTTCAGGGGCCTAGTTTTCTGTTCACTTGAAAAATTTCAACAATGTAAAAGGAATGCGGAAATAAAATGTTTATACTTCATTCTTTGCCAAGATATAGGCTACACTTTGGCCTAAACTAACCTCTGTTGCATGGGTGTAGGTCTATCTCAGTTCCCTCTTTCACTGGAAACTTCATCAGATTTCGTTCTGTACATGACATAACATGCTTTATGCTGCAGTCATTTGATACATAGGTATGAATATTATAGTTCTGTAGTTTAATGTTTTATTGGTTTACTCTCACTACATCCTTATGTCATTGTTTTTAATGTCTGAATCATTTAGGGCCTGCATAGAGAAAGCACTTCATGGGAAATACAAGATTCCCTGTCCCCTCTGTAAAGCGGTGGTTACAAAAAGGTGAAGATTTTACAGTGCCTGTGAATAAAAAGGCCTCATGACTAAATTGTCACAACATGACAAATCATGCTTTGTGTTTGCCTTTCTAGGAGCCTTCTGAAAATCGATCACATTGAACAAATTGTTGAGAAGGTGAAGCAACTCTCCAATGCTATAAGGGAAGACACTGGATTCGACGGTAAGCCCCGCTGCTTACTCTAATGCGCTGCAGTTGTGACATTCACGAACGGGTTGATGCTCTAAGCCAGCAAAGGTCAGGCGGAGTTTTTCCAGATTGCTGTCCTGGAGGGAGCAGGAGTCTATGCTTGATCACATTACCCATAAAATTGTAGTCCCACTAACCTCTAAATCACTTGCTAGTTCCATAATGAAAACACCTAAGCCTGGGAAAAGATAATAATGAAGTTAATTCACCAGCTCGCCTGCATATTTTCATTTTCATCGTACCTTTCTGGTTGCAGTGATGCCTGCTTCCAGGGTGTTGAGGATCTATTTTGATTTCGGGAACATAAGGTGTTGGGCATAAGGTTCAAACCCAGAGTCTTTGTGGCATTGTTCATGCCACAAGTTGCGCCGTGATGGCCGAATACTTACGTTTTTAGCTGTGGTAAGCTGGCGAAATTCTTTTAGTTTTCTAAAATAAACTCTGTACATAAACATTAAAACGGAGAAGTCAGTCCGACCTTAGGGCAAATATTCAACGCAGTTCTGGTGGCTACATGTAGTTTAAGAGTAAAACAAAGTCTGATAGAGCTAACTGCAGTGTCAAGACAGTGACAACAATCTTATTTATAGCAATCTTGATAATGATCCTACATAACATTCAAAATTTGCAGTCTAATCCTGTTATAGGGTGATGCCTCTTGAAGATTGTTTATGCTATTATTAAAAGTTACGCAAGCTCGATTACGCTGAAGGCCAGGGTGCACAGAATGTGTCCTGCAAAAACCACAGATGTTAGTCCGGGGCGAAACCAAGCGAACGAGTGCGCCGCTCAGGCGCTACCTTCTATGGCTCTTGCACGATGCATGACGTCAGTGAGGCGAGCTGTCACAGAAGACGACGTCGCACTATTGCCAGCACGTCTTGCCAGGAGAGTAACTGTGCTGCTATATAGCTCTGTGGTTATCATACTCTGCTGCCACCACACTGACCCAGGCTTGAGCCGTTCTGGGGCACCTTATGTTTTTTAATTTATTTTATTTTTTTCATTAATTTTTAAAATTTTATATATAGCTTTAACATTGTGTAACGATCCCAGCGTGTTGCTCGTTCATGACGCTCATACATGTTGATCATTCATGACGCTTGTTCCTGATGCATGTCCATGACAATTTTCTCATGAAAAAACAACTAATAAAGCATCCTATGTGAAAACATGAAACTGTTTGTCACTCGTAATTGTTCCAAGTTTACTGACGTCAAAAGCTAGGCACTGTCACCGCAAACCGCAACCGGTCAGGACAGTTGTGTAGAGGAGGTGTTTTCACCTTTTGTTAAAGGGTTACCAGCAAGTTCTGGATGATGGTTGTTACTGACGGTTTTAAAAATGAATGGTCAGCACCGATCATATTAATTTCGACACCTTTGGTAGTGTTTTAACATTTTGTTTTTATGTTTTAAGCATCGCCACCCCGGCACTCCCGCATGACAGCAGTGGCGTCTCCAGAAGGCCACCTTTTCGAGGAGTTTGGGCGTGCTCATCCGTCACCCATGAAATGTTACGGAAGATCCAAAAGTGCAGCAACCGCTGTGCGTACTCCCTTTTGCTTCATAGTTGTCCTAAAGGTTACCACTTTGTAATTATTGACAGGCATCAGGAGTGTGGTGGCTGAGTTTATGTTGCATCCGGCTTGTCTATTTCGTTTTTACCTCAACCACTCTTTTTTTTTTTAATGGTTCTGTTAGTTGTCTTGCAAACAGAGAAGATGCTGGCACAAGGCTCGCAAGCCATACCGTGTTCGCTTTCAGGACCTGCAATCTAAATTTCTACCTTTTGTTTGGAGCAAGTCGATACAGAACACGCATATCTTTTAACATGAGGAAACCTGATGAGTTCTGACTGAGGAAGTTTAATTGTCCTGATGATTGGTCCCTCTTGCCAACAACGCTTAGATAGGAAAGCCATAGTGCTGAATTTTCGGTGTCACTGAAAGTTCAGGGCACAGATTTGGCACAGATTGGGCATGACTGCTGCATAAGCATTTGGCTGTGACCCATGTTCTCTTATTAAACACGAGTCTTATTAACACGAGTCTCAGCCGCATGGTGAAAATTCAGCAAAATGACTTTATTATCTGGTAGTGTTGCTCTTGCACACTCTTCTTTTGAACCTCATACTTTAAACCCGCGGTCTGTTTTGCAGATGACCATCACATAAGCCAAAAAAACTCGCACCTCCTTCCTTGAACATTTTTATTTGTAATAGTGATAGATTTGGAGGGTAAACTCTAAGAAAAAAGACCATCTGAAATGATTAGTAATTTTGGTCGAATAATTCCAAATGACATATTTTGAACAACTGTAATAACAGTAGACAGATAGGAAGAGTAAGGGTTTTTGTCCTGCTCTTGTACAAAGTTTATGACAAAATCTCAGTGATGTGATTGCTGCGCCACTTGCACCAAACTACGCCGAGGGGCTAACCCTGCTACATCCTGCTACGTTTTGCCAAAATATGTGTAATCTGTGCCAAGCCTGCGCCAAAAAATCTAAATTTGGTCGCCTTTCAAAACCGAAACTAAACTGAGTACTGTAATTGAGCATGCATATGTTAAGTGGTGCAAGCGGCCACCCGACACAAAGTACCCTGCATCAATTATCCATCTGGTCTTGCATGGTTTTCCCGCCGTCTTGCGTTTCGCGATTTCGGTGTCTCTTAGATCTTTTCTCGCGTCTTTTTAAAAAAAAAATATTTTCAACGATAGATGCGGCTGTGTGCGGAGGCTGTGAAACGAAACCATGTTTTTGCGCGGCAAGAGTTACTTTGTGAACTGATGCGCTTGCTCCTGAAAGCAAAAGCCGTGGGAAAACTATATTTAGTCCCTGCCTTCCTGTCACCGTGGTCGCGCGACGTCGGGTGTTGCGGTCCCCACGTCGCTGCAGATATGGCGCTTTCTAAAATGAAACTAAGTAATGCCACATGTTCATCAACATTCCTGTTGTTCAAATCATACACTACGACAAAAATCTCTCTATCTCAAAGACTGCTGTGTCAAAGTATTGATTACCTAGGTTTCTCTCTGTGGGCTTTTTTTTGAGATGGACCCCGGTTGGTGAAAAATCTGCCGCAAAACAAAGTTGGTGAAGAGAAGTGAGCTAAAGCAAAAAAGGCAATGTCTGCTCGCTGAACTCATACAGTGCGCTTGTTTGTCTCGATTTGAGTCATTGCACAAAGTGCTCCAAGAACTTTCTAACCCTGGCTTGCATCATCTTGCATCAATGCACTTAAGTTTTTTTTTCTTTTTTTTGTGTGTGTTTAGCTTTTACCTTGTTTGCCGGCCAGGCAAACACGCGCCACTGGACTGTTTTTTGTTCTATGCTCGACAGTTACATTTTGCATACAATTTTGGGAATCAGTTGGCGACGGAGCAAAGTGGAGTGGTTTCGGTTTCAACCAAACAGCCGTTGTTTCTGCTTGCGCAATGAACTGCAAGCCTGCCGAACTTGCCCTCGTGTGCATGCGAACATGGTTGCACAACAGAGGCACCAGCCAGGATGCTTGCAATCCATTGCTTTATGTTTGCTTACTCTTTATGAAAATCTGGCACGTCGGCATCCAGTAAAACGGTGGCCAGTGGTTTTTCGGAATCGCTCGGCAATGCCTACAACGCTCTACACTTGTGGGATGTCTCAGCAGTAAAAAACACAAGCAGCGAGTGCTGTCACAACACATCAGATCAGAACACAACACAACACAAAGTGCCCTTCGTTTGTGCAGCACTTAAAGGAGCTGTGTAACGATTTAAACGTTGAAAGAATTTGCGTCTTCTACTTTTGACTTTGTTTATCTTGTCACAAAGGACAGAAAACACATCTCCTTCCTTCGAAATGATGCGATTCTGCCGCGTAATCGCGAGGCAAAAATTAGAATATTTCCCGACCTGCAGCCGTGAGCGGCGGCCATGAGAACCACGCGGCATGACGTCAAAGGGGGACTTGTAAAAAGATAGCAAGTTGTGCAAATACTTGCTCGATAAAGGCAATTTTTCTATAAATACAAATGCGTCAAAAACCTGGTATCATCGATAAAACTTTTGTTATACGGAGTTTTAGTGGCGTCGGCCACTAAAACTCCGTATAACAAAACCGTCAGCTCTATCTGCTACTGCGAACAGCCGCCAGAAGCCGGAGGGGGATGGGGGCAGAGCCGGATAAGGATGGTCGGACCCCGACTTTCCTCCTCTCGCCATGTTGATCGGCAGTCACGTGGTCGCAAGCGGCTGTGCTCTCACTGCTCACTGATGGCTCAAGAAAGAGAGCTTCACCGGAACCCTGCACGTCCCCCATTCATGTCACAGTGCACGTGACTCGGAAGATGGTGAAGGAGTTGAGAGATGCCAAAAACCTCAATCTTTGTCAATTTTTAAAATAAAAACTAGGGCATGCAGGCAAAAGCGGTTTATTGCTCTTTACTTCAGAAACGCCGAGACACCAACTCCCAAATTATTGAAGCGAAGCACTGAAATTGTTGCACAGCTTTTTTTAAAAACAAATATTTTTATTTCTTTAGGAATATCTGCTCTAAAAGCCACTTTTGCTGCTCTGAAACACTGTCTTGGCTGTTCCAAAGCCATTTTTGCTTCTCCAAAACAATTTTAGTTGCTCCAAGGCCACATTTGCTGCTCCAAAACACTGCTTTGGCTGCTCCAAGAGGTGCTCCAAAATGGCTTAAGTCCATCACATTGAAATCTAGGCAATTTTTAGTCTCTAATATTATTTCAACTACCGTAGTAGTAGTAAGACGTGATAACATATTTTGGTTAAGTTGTGCCTTTGTGGTGTCTGAATAATTCAGGAAAAATAAAAACTGCATGTTTGCCGAATTTCACATCAGGTTGCATTGCGGAGGAGCAAAAGAGCAGTTTCAGTCAACAGTGGTGAGTTTTATTTCACAGTGATGTGATTGCTGCGCCAATTCCGCCAAACTGCGCCAAGGGGCTAACCCTGCTACATCCTGCTACATTTTGACAAAATATGGGTAATCTGCGCCAAGCCTGCGCCAAAGGATCAATTTTGGTCGCTTTTGAAAACCGAAGCTAAACTGAATACCTTAATTGAGCACACATGAGCTAGGTGGTGCAAGCAGCCGTCCGACACAAAGTACCTTGCATCAATCGTTCATCCGGTCTTGCATGGTTTTTCCCGCCATTTCTCGTCTCGTGTCTTTAAAAAAAAAATTCAGTGATAGACGTGGGCGTGTGTGGACACCCCGACGCTAGCGTGCTGGGTACCAGCCATGCCGTCATGCTGTGAAGCGAAACCATGTTTTTGCATGGTGGGAGTTACTTTGTGAGCTGAAGCGCTCGCTCCTGAAAGCAACGGCCGTGGCCAAACTATATGTGGTCCTGCCTGCCAGTCACCATGGTCGCGCGACGTCGGATGTTGCCGTCCCCACGTCACTCCAGTTATGGCACTTTCTAACTGAAACGTAAGGACTGCCGCATGTTCATCAACAATCCTGTTCTCGTTTAATGCGCTACTACAAAAATTCCTCTTTAGCTCAAAGACTGCTGTGTCGAAGTATTGATTGCCTAGGTTTCTATCGGTAGGCTTTCTTTAGAGACGTACTCCGGTACGGGAAAAATCAGCCGCGAAAGATGTTGGTGAATAGAAATGAGCTAAAGCAAAGTAGGCAATGTCCGCATGCTGAACCCGCACAGCGTGCTTATTTGTCTCGAGTTCAGTCCTTGCACAAAGCACTCCAAGAAATTTTGGACCCTGTATCGCGATGACTTGAAAAGTCTTGCATCGATAAGCTCAGGTTCTTTTTTTTCTTCTGTGTTTAGCTTGTGCCTCGCCTGCCGGCCTGGCAAGCACGTGCCGCTGGACTGTTTTTTTTTTTACTCTTTTTTTTTTTTGTCGTATGTTGGACAGTTACATTTTGCATACAATTTTGAAAATTAGTTGGAGACGGAGCGGAATGGCATGGTTTCGATCGAACAGCCATCTCCGCTCGCGTGACGATTTCGCATTGCACGGCAGTAGTTACGTGTTTCACCAGTTGGAGACTGTTTCCATTTATTATATTACTAGTCAACCTAATGATGTGATATTTAGTACTAACCTGGTCATTTTCAAATAAATTTAAATATCTGCAGTTTGGTCCAATACATTTATGTCATTTAACTGAAGCATTGCAAAATGTGTCATGTCATTAGCATTTCAGTTACATGTTGAAAGACTCCCAGGTGGCCTATCTCGACAATAATTGGTTGGTTGCGGCGAGCAATGTGTCCTTCGTTTGTCCACCACTTGAAATGAATATATTTTTTTTCCCTAAGACTATTTGCTCCAAAAGCCACTTTTGCTGCTCCGAAACACTGTTTTAGCTGCTTCAAAAGCCAGTTTTGCTGCTCCAAAACTCTGTGTTGGCTGCTCCAGAACGTGCTCCAAAACGGCTCAGGCCAATCACATCACTGATTTCATATTTTATTTTTCACAGTGGAGCTGTTAAGGGCTAGGTTCCCAAGTTTCATGTCCGGTACAAAACAAATGTCGACACAAAACTCTGGACAGCTACTGCCATCTATGAGCAACGGCGGCAACCAGACAACCAGTCTGGTTGCCACCGTCGCTCATAGATGGCGGCAACTTTTCCAGCTATCATAGAAGAATGGATAGTTGTGCGAGTTGGTGGGAGTTGATTGTAGGAAACAGCGTGAAAAACAGACTAGGATGAAGAAGAAACACAACGGGACGAGCGCGTAAATAACAACCTTGAATCGTTATATATGATATATGTCGGATTCTTTAATCATTCAAATAACCAATTACCCAATCACACCTTAATCCTTACATTTATAAATACCTCATTCTCACCATAGTACAGCTTCGCTGGTCTTCCTTCTTCAGCAGAGCGGAAAGGCTGAAAGTTTTAGTTTCCTGTGCTCTCTACACTTCTTTTTACATGGTTTCTATCCCTATTTTGTGGTTTTTCTTTTCTTTTACTTCAATGCCTTTGTGTGTTGCAACATGAGGCCCATGGGCTGTTCCACAGCTTTACTTGTTTTGCTGTGGTCTCTGTCTTCAGATACCCTGAGTATGTCGCATGTATGTGACATGGTGATTTTTATGCACAAGTGGGTTGTGTGTGGTTTTAAAAAGCTACGGTAATTTTTATGCAGAAGTGGGTTGTGTGTGGTTTTAAAAAGCTACGGTAATTTTTATGCAGAAGTGGGTTGTGCATTTGTTTGCACATTTTTCGATTTTAAATTACATTTTTCTAATTTCACGACACTGCCAGGCCTGATTGAGGTTAAAGGCACTGTTTGGGTCACTGAGTTCTACTACGAGCGTGCAGATGATTTCACTGTGTAACTTGTCACTTTTTTCACAAGATATAATTTCTTTTTTTTTTTTCTCTTTTTCAGATTCGGAGGTTGTTTCAAACACCACAAAAAGGTCCAGATCCACTTCTGATATAAGGTGAGATAGGAAGCTTGTCCTGATGTAGCTTGGATAAATAAGACGGACCTTGAGAAGCTGGTGTGAATCATATTTCAATTATCATATTTTCCTGACTATAGTCCGCACACACTGCATAGTTTGCAAAGTTTGCAAAGTTATCATACACAGCACACCTTGACAAATGCCTGCTGTATTAGCTCACAAGGAAGCTTCTGTCATACATAAATCAACATTAGTATACTCCGGCATTTATAAAATCCTTCATGTCTTGTCACAGTGAAAAATCTAGAAAAAAATGAATCCTTGTATAGTCCGCACCTGTAGAAAGTCTGCATCGGGTAAAATGTCAACTTTCAAACATGTATAGTCTGCAAAATATAGTCCGGAAAATACGATAATTTACTTTGCTGCTGGCCATCTAGATTTTCATGGCAGGACATAAAAGCAGCAACCTTTATAGGTATGGCTATTTCACTATTTAATGTGACACTATCCAAAACTAATACCAGTTCCTACTCATCCATCTGTAGTTTGCCAGAAAAACCTACCGTAAAATCCCCTAAGAACGCCCACCCAAATTAAAAAGATAAATGGTGAAAAACATGGGGAGGGCTATCTTTGGGGATGCCACAGCAAAACGTTATCAAAAATTAATGATAAGCATCGGGGCGCCCGCTACAAACCACATGACACGGGAACTGATATTGCAGATCGCGGACACGGCAAATTCGCGTTTCACGATGTGATAAACATGGGGAATTCGGGAATTCGCTACAAACTCCTGTGTCATGGGAAAGGATACCGCAAGTGGTTGACGCAGCCGATTCGTGTTTCACGGTGCGAAGGACTTGCAGAAACCCGCCGAGAACTCGCATCTCATGGGAATGGATACCGCAGGTCGCGGACGCAGCAGATTCAAGTTTCATGATGCAATAAACACACGGGAACCCTATTCGCAACTCCAGCGCGCCGCTCGCCCTCCCGCGGACGAACGGAGAACCAGAGGAGCGGGGACGGCAGCGGCGGCGGCGGCGCGGAAACGGTGGCAGGGACTGTCGGTTGGCCTTAATGGCGTGAAGCCGTTTTAACGAAAAAAAGTGAGCGCGTTAAAAAAGTAATTCTTGTGCTCAGCCTTGCAACAGCCTTGCATAAAGGACCGAAAGGTCTATTTTCATTACAGACTTTTCGTGTATCGCATACGCAGCGGATTTCTGGTCTTGTGCATGGCCGCTAGCCCAATCTGTGCTCAACGTGATGGAAAACGCTCCCGCTAATAATGGAGATCTCTATAGTACGGTCAACGAAAAGTCTATTCTTTGCCGTAAGTAGAAGAAGACTAGTCGCCCAACGGTATAGCGAGCAATACAAATCGGGAATGGGTTCGCGTTTTAAGGTCGTTACAAGGAACATGACCATTTATTTCAAGCAATTTAAAAAGTCAGAATTACTTGCTTTCAGGTAATCACAAAGCAAATACAGAGATGCTCGAAGCATTTTAAGCGCGTCTGTGCTCGCCAGCCGTTTGTGACGAGGACTTAGAAGGCGCAGTTTTGGCCGGAGGGACCGCAATGTTGCAAATAACACGGTACAACAAATGTACGGTATATTAAAACATTTTTTTGATAGAGAAATAAATAAACCTCTTAACACGCCGATTATGTTAGTAGGCAGTTTTTGCATAGCGTACGACACCCTTAAACTTCAGTTGGACGTACAGCGCACTGACGTTCAACCGGCGCTACCAACTTTCACGAGCGGCTTAATAGCCGAGTTGTACAACTTATTAAACTAGCTTAAGTAAGTGTAAATGACTGTAAAACAAAGAAAGTAATCGGGGTTTTCTTGGCCCTTCTGCAAAACCGCAGTGTTTTTGTTTGGTTTTTCGGTACTCTTTGATGCGTACTTTAGCTGTTTAATGTCTTATATTGCTTAGTAAGGTACGTTGTTGGGCTAGTTGGTTCATCTTAGTAAAACATATAAAATAGCGCAACAGAAACAAGGGCAAGAAGTAGCGCCTGTCCTGTTTACTTCTGGTCTGATATTGCGTCGTCATCAAGCCTCTCGTAAAAGTTGGGCCGTCAGTTTGACGTCAGTAGGCTGCACGGCGAACTGAAGTTTGGGAGTGTCGTATATGTGACAAGAAGTATAAAAACTACAATGTTTTTTTTTTTTTTTTTTTTTTAGTGATGAGCACGACAACGATTTTGGCGCGCTCTGAAAATTGTGCTTCAAAACCGCAGCGCGATCTTGCGGTCGTAATGCTACACCGCACGGTAGTGTGCGCTAATAAACTTTTTATCAATAACCATAGAGCAGTTTGATTACGTGCTCCAATGCACTAAAACCGAGACGGTGAGGAACGATTTGAGAGGCTGTGACGCGAAGACACCAATAATGTGTATTGCTGCTTTTCCGATGCTTGACGGTCACCGTTCGCGGCTCTCTTTTTAGAGCACTAATGGCCAGGCAAAGCGCAAATATATCTTCATCACCTTCAAAAAATATTCTGCCACAAACAGTAACGTGGCCGGTACCTCAAACGCGCTCGTTCACCACAAAGTTTCGCACTTTGAGGTTTCTGCAACTTCTAAATAACAGCATACTCGTTTTCCTAACGTGCATCAGCATATCCGTCACCTGTTATACGATCCCTCCATAACCGCTTCGCGTTTGTAGACAAATAAATCATTTTTAGCTCGCTGAACAGCGTCAGCGAGCAGGCGCATGGGATATCCTGGACAATCTATCCCCGTCCCTTCCGCCATCTTGGAACTACCGCCCCGCCACCTATAGGGCGTTGGAGTTGCGAATACTATCTTGCGTGTCGCGGAAACCGATATCTCGAGCGCAGATTGCAGACAAAAACGCGGGAATACGCTACAAACTCGCGTGTCACAAGAAAAAATATCGCAGACGCAGCAGAATCGCATTTTACGATGCAATATATACGCTGGAGCAACTCACATGTGTTACAACTATAGTGCGTTGCAACCTAAGAACGAAGGGGGAGGGTAAGATTGGCCGGGGAGGAGGAAGCAGACAGAACGCTGGAGAAGAGAGGGGGAAACCTCCTTCTCTCTTTAGCATTCCGTCTGCTTCCTCCTCCCCGGCCCGTCTTACCCTCGCCCTTCGTTCTTAGGTTGCAACGGACTATAAGAATTGATATCGCGAGCGCAGATTGCGGACAGAAACACGGAAATCCACCGCAAACCCGGGAACGGATACCAGAAATCACGAACGCAGCAGATTTGCATTTCACGATGTAATATACATGCGGAAACAACTCGCGTGTTACGGGACCTGATATCACGCGTGCAGATTGCAGACAAAAGCACTGGAACCCGCTATGAACTCGCTTTTCGGACGTACCAATGCCGCAGACCGCGCCGTTGATGCGCAATTCCCGCCGGACATAGCTTGACGTCCAACGGGAATCGGAAGGTGGCGATGTCTCGGAATTTTTATGTTAGAGATATTTAGCAAAACAAAAAAAAAAAAAAAAAAAAAAAATGGGATGGGTGATCTTGATCTTGATCCATCCAGCTTGAATTTGATACTCACTTGAACCGTCTGGCTATGTTAAATGCTTTTCACTTTGGTCTCAGATCTTACAAAGCATTGGAAACCTCTGGAATCAAGCCACTGGTTAACACCAGAACCTCCCAAAGGCTACCCCGTGCCACCTCAAATCAGCCAGCACACGAAGGTCCTCAATTACAAGCTTCCTCGTCAGCATTGCCAGTGCGGGGCCTCCTAAGGCGAGCCTCTGCCGCAGCTGAGATGCCCTGCATAATCACAGCTGGCGATAGCACATCATCAGTATCCTCATGTTCCTCCTTCAACCTTCAAGTTCGACAGCCTTCTGAATCGCAGGCTGGAACCATTACCCTGTCGGATGGCAATGCCGGCAACGAAAGCTCGACCATCGGCGCAATTAGTCAGAGTGAGAAAGTGGGAAACTGGCTACAGACTTGTGAAACTGTGGTTCCAGTCGTCAGTGCCAATCCCAAAGATCCTGTGTCGAACACCGGCAAGAACGAGACTGTCCAAGGTGCTCGAAAATCTATGCCCAACCGGTTTTTCACGACGTCCAAGCCGGTCAGAAAGCTCGGCAGTCCGGCAGGCAGGAAGAAGCTCTTGGATGTCTCGGACAGCGACCCCTACAAATTTGTTCCGAGTCAGAGGTCCCTCCATGCAGCCGCACAGAAGGGGAAGAGGCGGCGGCCCAGGGGCGGTTGCAGGGGCACAAGGACTGCTCCCGCCAGAAAGACGAAGGCAAAGAGTCCGTTGAGAGGGTTCGAGAACCTGAGAGACTACTGTGCTGAGGAGGCAGCTGTAAAGAATGGAGATGCTCAGGAGCTGGAAATTGAGCTCTTTGTCACCCCCGGTGACATGCTCCAAGGCAACGAAGATCAAGTTCCAAAAGCTCCACAGTCCAAGAAGAGGACCATGAAGGACGCTTCGAGGAGGCAGTCAAAGAGGATGAAGAGGAGCATGCTATTGCAGAAAACAGAAGAGGAGGCCAAAGAGCTGCAGCAAAAGATCAATGGAGCAGAAGGCTTCGAGCTGGCCGTGCTCAAAGAGACTTGGCCCGGGCTTCCCAATAAGCCTATTGCGGTTGCTGCTTTGAAAGATGTCTCTAACCTGAGGGTACCTACCGAGAAGAGCAGTGCTCAGGGATACCCCATGTCACCCAAGCGGCCTGGTCGGGTGGAGCTTGGCTTTTCAGCACAAAGAAGTTCTGCGGAAGTGACTGCTGTACGTCAAACTCTGAACGACCGCACTTCGGAGCTTGAGCCAGGCCCCGACACTGATATGTCAAGGCCGGAGAAAACTAGCTCATTATCCCTGAACAAGAAACAAAACCACTTAAACGTCAAGAGGTCATCAGAACCTAGCATTTCGACTACTGCGCCAAAAGAGCTACCATCATACGATAATCTTTCTCGAGGACATGAAGAGACTGAGGGTGAAGTAGTCAGCTCCAAGCCTATTGGTAATGAGCATCAACCCAGTGAGTTACACACTGAAGGCCAGCTTATATACGACAACCACATGGAAGAAAACCCTGAGAGTTTGCACATTGAAGGCCAGGGTGCAGAAGACAACCACGTTGAAGAACACCCCGAGACTCCAGCAATGTCGCTAAAGGATCTCGAGGGTCTCTTCAAGAAATCGAGCCGCAAAACGTTTGACATCTCGGCAGACACGCAAGACTTAGAATCGCTGAGCAGTGGCGCCCTGAGCACTCTGGATCTGATAAGCAACATCTGCAATGAGCTCGAGGAAGAGCCTATTGCACGCCGATCTCCTGCTGCTGCTACTGCCAAGGACAGCAGTCCAGCAGTGCCACGGAAGGAAGCCCTTCCCGAAAAACGGGATATCCTGCAGTCACCAGCGAGTGCCTCTATTCCAATAACAACAATGTTGCAGGGAAGCACTAAAGGCATGACCAGGAACCGTGCCGTGTCACAGGAGGCTTCTGACATGCCATCCAGCCTTGCATTGGCCTCGACTGCTTCTTACGAGGAAACATGTGAGGAGCTCGGGAACAGCGCATCTGAACCAAGAGTCGAGACATGCCTCAGCTGTCCAAACTGCACCACGGACATTGTTGTCAGTTGGGTCAACGGGATCACAAAAGTCACATTGAAGGGAACATCGCGAAAGCCTGTGCTTGTGGACGTTGGGATGTGCACAGAGAGGCCCGGAAACAGGGTGATTATTTGCAAGGAGGCGGTGACTCAGACTGACATTGTGGATGTTAACCAGAGCTGCTCTGAAGCTGCTTTGAACCAAAGGGGCCATCAAGAAGCACCTCCAGTTGCTGCACTTCCCGTACCGTCAAATTCAGTTCTGTGTTCTGAAGTGTCCCCGACCATCGAAAGGGAAGTTCATGTTTCAGATGCTTCCAACCATGCCTCTACTAAAGAGAACATCCCATTGTTGGCCATGCCTGATGAGCTCCATTCTAGATCAGTCTCCAGTGACAAACCTGTGGATGGTGGAAGCTCAGTTATTGCCTTTAAAAAACCTTCTGAGAATGTGCAGACCTGTTCAGTCAAATTTACGGATGGAAACGAGGCAGAAATGGAGAATGTTCAAGCAGAAGTGGCTGAAGTCACCAGCGTGAGTGAGACTCGGAGGGATGGGCAGTCGTCTCCCAAGCAGAACAACGAGGATTCTGAAGTGATATGTGATGAAACAGAAGAGCAATTTCAAGTTTCCGAAAGACAGCTCGTGGACAAAGGCTTCCAGTGCCAGCTCCAGACCATTATCGAAGACTCGGAGCTGATGGACGCAAGCCCCTTTAGCGAAAACGGTAGCCCGGACGAAGTTGCAGGAACTGCAGTAGGGCCTTTGGTGGGAGAGGTCGAAGAACCGGAACATGGCAATGGAGACTGCACGCAGAGCGGTTTGCAGTCCTCTGTTGAGGCAGCTTGCACGAGAGGTCAAGACGAGTCTCTGACAAAGAAGGCAGAGGAATATCACATTGAACAAGCGGTGCCAATGGAATTTGGCTGCATAGAAGAGGAAGTGATGTCGGTGGGCGCGACGCAGCAACAAGTTCGAGAGGCCAGACCTCCCCCATCGATTGATCGGATGCAAAATGAAGGTTGTTCCTCGAGAGCTCTCGATGCTGGTTGCAGCGACGAAACCTACCTTCCCTCTTACGACCACTTCTTAGCTTCCCCAGAGGCCAGGGCAGACAAGCCACATTCTAGAAGCTCCCAACCCAGACAATCGGCAGCATGTGCTGCAACCGTGTCTATCAATTTCAATTCTAAAGAGCAAGAAAATGTGAAGCACAGTTACTTGAAGACATCGCAAGTTTCGCTTCAACTGGCACCTGCTGAAGTGCATCGCGCCTCCTCGTGTTGCCAAGAAAAACACCAAAGTGTAACGATGGTCTCGCCCGCAAATGCTCCACATGATCCCACCGGTTACAAAGACAACAAGGGCTGCTCAGACGCCCATCCTTTGCGAGCTGAGCTCTCTCCGTGGGCCTCTCCTGTGCATTCCGGACAAACTGCCTCCAGTTTCAACATTGACATTCAAGACCAGCTGAATAGGAACAGTGAAGAAAGCAGGGGTGATGAAGCTGACTTCAGGACGTGCTCGGCGTCACCAGAAAAGCAGTCGGACGCCAGCAAAAGGATCACCGGAGGGGAAAGGGAAAAGAGCACGTGCATTTCCAAAACTTCTGAGAGATCAGAAAAAGTGTTGGTCACGGTTGAAGACAGCGATTCGGACAGTTCTGTGATGCTCGATCCGATGACGGAAAGCGAGGCCAGTGATCTCCTCCAGCGAGCTTTTGCCATGGAGGAAGACAGTCCAGATGAAGTTGCTCTGAACTTTGCAAAAAGGGCCGTTGCTCCGCTGCGAACGTCTGCACAGAAGCGCCTGTCACTGGAGTTGCAGCTGGTGGCTGAAAGACACACGCCACCCGACACGAGTGCTGCTGCCTTGCTAAAGTCGGTAGCTGTGCCTGCAAGTGAAAGAGAGGAAGGTGAGAGAAAAGTGTCTTGTCTCATTCAATTAATATGTATCTATGGACTAAATTTTTGGAAACTGATCTGTCATCACAATTCTGCCTTGTTAATATGGAAACCAGGAGTTTATTCGGTAACAAACAAGCTAGGTACAAGTATTTATGTCTCTTTTTTATGGATCCAGTCTCCTATTGTGATCAGAACTCTCATTTGCCACTGTGGTGGGACACTACCCAAAAAAAACAATTTCTGCAAAAAAAGTTGATTTTAAAAAATGTCATATTTACATCCACCAACATCTAGAGAGTATTCCCAGAACGTTTCATTAGTTTACACTGTATAGGTAATTTTTTATAAACTAGTTTCGGTCCACCGATGCTAAAGGAAAGGTAGAGGTTGGAGCACTTTGAACGCATTTTTCTCCATTCCACTTTTTGGCATAAATTTCACTTTAGGAAAACTATCGTTTTGTTATTACGCAACTTGGATTCCTTTTTATGAATTTTTCTGGTGTGAAATTTTAAGGGGAAGATAACTATGAGCTTGTATTTTTTATTTTTGTCATTTTTCATGCTCAAGAACTAAAAGTTTGGACAAAGGATGGAAATCTAAAAAACTGTATTTGTGTTTACGTGGCTTTTTTGTCATGAAGAATGATATAATATAGAAATATAGCTCCATAGTTATCTGCTCTGAACTGTCCTAATGCAATGTAACACATGAAAACGACAAATTTATAAGCAATTTCAAAACGATAGTTTTCCTATGCAGACCACGACCAACTCTATAAAGGGCGACCAGGTCAGCTCTCCCCTCTCTACGGGAGCGCGTGTACCGGAAAATACCACGTGACCACGACTGGGGACAGCGAAATGCGCCAGACGCCGCCGCGTATCATCTCCAAATGCGCGCGCGGTCATACGCGACGGGCGGCGGTTGTGTTGATAAAACCCACGAGTTTATTGTAACCTTTTCTGTCGACACCCGCATAGCTTTCTTGACATGTTCTGTAAACAGAGTAAAGCGACAGCGCTTTCGATTGCCGGTCTATTAATTAAGTTATTTATTTTTCCCCCTTTGGGAAGAGGTAAGTTATGTGAAGCCAACGTAGAGCAATGGGAGTGTTTGCTTATCAGTATATCTTCCAGTCCTATAGCGCGGCCAGACATACAGTGTTTTTGCTCACTTAACACGACCGGCTTCAGTTTGATACGTTTTGTAAAGAATGTGCACCCAGAAATACTCCAAATTTCAATAAAAAGATATCAGTTTCGGTTTTGGAGTATGGCTCTTCTCCACTCATAAATTGTTTTGCCAGGCCAGTAATGAACATACTATTGTATACATGAAAAAAAACGTATACTCAATCTCTTAAATAATACTGCAGAAAAGGCAAAAGCGTAAAAATGTTTAAAATAGACCATTAAAATAGGCAGGATCATAACAATGGTTAAAATAGGAAAGACAGAGACAAGCTGTATTATTATTACTATTATTATTTCATTTTCACTAGGACACAGACAACTAACTTCTTTATGAGTGACACACTAAATCGAAAACAGTAACGAATACAGTAAACAGTATCAGATAAACAAACGACGTCTAACACGCTCATAATTAAAACATACACCCTGTCAGCAAGTTCCGCGTCGTCTGAAATTCGCGAGCTCGCAACATTAACACGTGAACATCATTCCTTCCGATGAATGACGGCTGATCCGGTACGTAGGTGTATCAGCATCACTGCATATTTAACTAAACCCTCAAAATGAGGAAGGTTATATACAGCGTCCAACATTGGCAACACGGCGTGTAAAGGATGACGCTGTAAACTTATATGTACCACGACCTATTTTGTGTTATGAACATGAAGAGAACCTATTTTCTCTTTATGCTACATAGTTTGGTGGGTAACTGATTCGCCTTCTGCTTGGCAAGAGATTTTCTTCAACCAGTCGTTCCGGATCTCCGTCACCGGGAACTCGTGGAAAGCGACCCCCGTCGAAGTCCGCGTGCTCGACTTGCACAGCGGCACACAGCAGAAGACCATCACAGCCCGTCGTTGAGTTCCACTTTACCATTAACGTAGAGCTATTTTACAGCCAGAAAAACCACGCGTCCACGCGTGCACGTGCCAAAAGACAGCTTGTACTAGCCTCCCCAGGCTTCCCGAGCGTACTAAGCAGCGGGGAAAGTGGAGATTCTAAGCAGCGCCAGCGGGAGCGGCGGGAACTAGGCGAACTAAAAAGAACTAAACAAGCAAAACAAAAAGTGGCGCGCTGGGGCAGGAGAAGGTGAGCTGGTCACCCATTATAGAGTTGGTCGTGATGCAGACACACCCACTTTCGTCTTTGAACGTATGCAATTTTTTTTGTACTGTACTTCACCCAGGTTAACAAAAAAATTGGCAGAAATGTTTTCAACATCAACAGAAACAAGCCCTGTAAATATAATTTAAATCAGACAAGTGGTTTAAAAATTCACTTTTTTGGGTAGTGACCCCCCTAAGGAGCATGTCAACTGGGCAAGAAGCAAGCGATTAGTATCAGCTCCGACACTGATCCTCTTTCACTCCTGCAATCTTTAACCTCCTGAGACCCTGCGTCCACCAGTGTGGACATTGGGTTTTTAATTGTTGAAAAAGAACGGCGCCGCACATAGGAAAGAACTCCTGTCCATCGTGATGGACATATTCTGTGCTGCCATCTGGTGGAGTGTGGAGCAAACAGCACTGAAAACAACTCGCTGCTCGTAGTTGCAAATGGCGACCTGCAGCACTCGCACGTTCTACGGCCGACGCCAAGGTATGTAATCAGTTTACATGATTTACATAAACAGAATCTTTGTAAATTTATATTTCTAGTGCTCTTGAAAGTTCAGAGATGGTTAATAATGCTTAATATTGACAACAGTATTAGCATGGGTTGCAGTAGTCGCTTTCCAAACTGTGTGTCCGCGTGGGTGGACGCTGGGACCCAAAACTTGTGACTTGATTTTCGCGATGACCATATTTTGCTCGCTATCAATGTCAAACACTCGCGAATTGAAAACAATTGGTTTGTTTGACTCTGTTATATTTTTCAGGACTAACAACAAGTCAGGCTGATGCCATTTTAGACAGTGTGTGCGGTGCCACAAGTTCTGACGTTGACGACTCTGACGATGACATTGATTTTGTGGCAGCAGAAAATGAAGTTAGAGAAGATTCTTCGTCTTCCGACGAATCAAGTGATGAAGATGAATCGCGGCCGCCTGCCAGGAAAGTTTGGAAACCCTCTGCCAGCCCCCCATCAAACTCTGGCGCACAAGTTTTGGAGACTGGGTGCTGACATGATCCAAGCAAGGGAACGTTCACACCTGGCGACTACTTTCGGCAGTACTTCGCTTCCAGCATGTATGAGACACTGGCTGAAAAAACTAACATTAGGATCCTGGAGCGAAATGGGACGATCGCAAAAGTAACAAGGCAAGAGGTTCAACATTTTTTTGGAATATCTATGTTGATGAGTACAACTGGGTACCCCCGTCTTCGTTACTACTGGAAGGCTGGACTTGGAGTGCAGTTGATAATCAACGCCATGGCCCGAGACAGGTTTTTCTGGATCCGTTCTAACCTCACGTGCACAACAGAGATCGAGGTGCCTGATGCAGTAAAGAAGGGGGACAGGCTGTGGAAAGTGAAGCCATTTGTGACCATGATTCGGGATGGATGCCTCTCTCTGCTGCGGCCGAACTGTTTCTCGATCGATGAGCAGATGGTCCCTTTTACGGGAAGAACATCACTCAAGCAGTATGTTCCAAACAAGCCGCACCCCATAGGCCTCAAGAATTTCGTCCTTGCGGGACAGGATGGATTGGTTTACGATTTTCATCTGTACCAAGGAAAATCTACTTTTCCAGACTATGGACTTGGGGTGTCAGGAAACTCCGTCGTACATCTGTGCCAAACCATCCCACAGGATTCCACACTTTATTTTGATCGGTGGTTAACGTCTGTACCACTTCTCGAAACACTGCTTAGGAAGAAGATATTCGCAACTGGAACGATAATGAAGAATCGGATCCCGAAAACAGCAGAGCTGGCTTCAGACAAGGAATTAGCAAAAGAATCTCGTGGGAAATCAGATGCTGTTCTGAAACACGATGGCAGTCTCTCCATAACCAAGTGGTATGACAAAAAGGCAGTCACACTTGCATCCACAGCATTTGGTGTTGAACCCGTCGGTACATGCCAGCGATACAGTAAGCAGGAGCACAGAAAGGTCGCAGTCCCTCGTCCAATGGTGGTCCAAAAGTACAACGAAAAAATGGGAGGCGTTGACCTCTGCGACAGGATGATGTCGTTTTACAGCCAACGTCGCCGTACCTCAAGATGGACCCTCAGGACGATGATTCACCTCGTTGACCTGGCCTGCGTGAATGCATGGATTGAGTACCGTGCAAACAAGAAGTATCTGAAGCAACCTGCCATGCAGTACATCGAATTCAAAATCAGTGTGGCTGAGTCACTTCTCAGTACCATACTTGAAGAGGATTCAAACTCCAGCGATGAAGACACGGTTGAAGTTCCACGCAAGAGAGTCAAGCCGCTGCCAAGCTTGCCAGTCCGGACGTCACAGGCACTTCACATGCCAAAGAAAGAAAGCATCAAGAACGCTGCACGGTGCAGGAACCCTGGCTGCTCAAAGAAGACTCGGCACCGTTGCACGTCCTGTGACATCTACCTTTGCATTGAAACTGACCGGCACTGCTTCTTTGATTTCCATACCAAGAAATGAGTCATTTCTTTGCCGGTATCGCTCCAGTTTTGTTATTTGTCCTCCCAAAGCCTAACCTGGAAAAGTTAACTCACAAAATGTTGAATAAAGTTTGTGTTCATTTTCCTGACTGAAGTGTAAAGTCCCACTGTCCATGTGGGTGGACATCAATTTTTACTGAACCTGCATACTAATAGTGCAAAAAAAAATCACAAATGCTCAAACGAACCCCTAATGAAGCAGTTAATGTTATTTAATCTTTAATTCCTATGCCGGATTTTTCTCGGGTCCCACGAGGTTAAAGGGACAGTAGCACCCAATTAAGATTATTTATTTTTTGTGCAAAGCGCAACATACATTTTAGCGCATGGTCAAGACATTACCCTAAATTTATGGAGCTGTAGAGCTGCATATTTGCTGAAAGCATGGCATACCATGATGTCAGAGCGTGTGGGAGTCACATGGAGTCGCTCTTTATGACTGTGTGCTGTCTTTAAGTAAACGCATTTGTTGTGTTTCAGCAATCTAAGAATTAAAGTTTCATATTTGTTATTACTTTTGTTTATGCCTATTTACCTTAAAGGGATACTTTAACGAAATTTGAAATATACCCGTCGTGTTCAAAAATAGGTTGAATGCGATTCACAATATCCGTAAATGACAATCGCACATTTGTATTTTGAGCCTGGTGGCTATATTTTTGTTATAAACAACCCACTCTGGCAAACGCTCGGAGAACAGCCAGTGGAGACCATGTGACATCCAACGCAATCGCGACGTAGTTTGTCTCGGGACGAGCAAAGCTATGGTGAGGCTGATGTCGAGAGGATGGCCTAGTCGTTCCAGCAACCGAAGCGGCTGCTTTTGTACGGATTTCGAGTGACGGGTTAATCTTCTATAATCTTGCAGAGGGACAATAGTGACTTCTGGGTCACACAAAAGGGATTCTCGGGAAGAGGGGAGTCCCTCCTTCTCTCTTCTCTCGTCGTGGCCGGAGGCGAGACAGTTTCCGTCACCACCTCTCAAGGTTCCTAGACGGGTATTACAAACGAGGCGTTAGCGACGTCCATCAAGTGCTTTTTGCTAATTGTTTAACTAATTTTAAAATTCCTTTTCATGACTCTTTTAACAAGATATTTATGTGTTTGATGTGATACTGCTCCTTTGAACACATATAAACCAAAAAATAAGAGCCGAAATTTCGTTGTAGTATCCCTTTAAAGGGGTACTCCTGCAATTTTTTCATGGTCGCTGATTTGTTTTAAAATGGGCTCGACACACTAATATACACTACTGTGCCAGTACCCCAAGTATTGTGTGAAAAGGAATACATCTTGCGAAGTTACTGAACTTTCTAATTTCGTTCTCATCATTTCTCAAACCGAGAGCCCCTACTGGCAATACTGAAGTATGACAACAAAAATGGTAAAAAAAGTAGGCAGATAACCAGATTCCCAATTGATTACAAGACGTTTGATGGTGGGAAAAGAATGCTTGAAAACTAATTTACTGAGAGAGAGGAAAAAACGCTCGACATACTCTCTTTAAGATAACCTGTGTAACCTTAAGTGACGTTACCATTTGTAACGTCACACCATTGAAGAGCGCTTGGAAATTTGAATGTTGGTTTAGGCATTATCTTCATTTACGGTTTCCTCCATACCAGTTTTGAATTTCAGGACAATAAATAGCATACCGTGAAGACTAAAGTATGAGAATTTAGCAAATGCAGGGGTGGAAGCGCTGCGCCAATTCACTTCCCTGCGCCAGCCTGCTCCAAAACGCCAATTTCAGCTTTTTTTTTTGTGTGTGTTTTCTCTAAATTTAGCGGAAAACGGTCGGCCACTGGCCACCATGTGGTGTGTACTTTTGTTTAGGCGTCAGTGCGGGAGACTCGTACCAACTCGACTGGGGCTCCGAACCACGTGTAACCGCAGGGCGAGGAGTCGATTTTAGTTCATCGAGAATGAGATGTCGATTTTGACTACAAAGAGCTTGATATACGAACACATCGGTTTGGTTTCGGGCATAGTTGGTTGGCGCGGTTGGAGCGCGCATGCAGTTGCCCGTGGTCCCGATTTGCCGTGATCGTGGAAGTTGGTGCCTCGGCACCATTGGGCTACTTCGGCCATCAACATGAGCAGGGGTGCTATGTTGGGCTTTTTGGACACCCAGGAGACTAGGAAGAGGGAAGTGACGTCAACGACACAGCAAACGCAGATTGGATGTTGACAGAAGAAAACGAAATCAACACCCAATCTGCGTTTGCTGTGTCGTTGACGTCACTTCCCTCTCCCTAGTCTCCTGGGAGTGCAAAAAGCGCAACATAGCCCCCCAGAAGTAAGTGGTCTTTACTAGCTTTACCTGTCATTTGGTAGCGTACCATATTTGGACGCTTAGCCGTGAAGAATCGCGAGCACTGGCACATGCGTTCTCGAGCTCAATTTGTCTTGTCAAAACGAAACCAAAACCATCATTGTGTGCGCGAATGTGCACGCTCGTGTGTTGTTTCCCACCGTCAGACCACTGGCGAAAACAATACCCGCGATCTTAAGGGAGTTGGTTGTGCTACACACTTTTTTTTCTTTCCTTTAGCGTGGAGGAGTGGGGGTTACATCAGAAATGCCGTACAACACTTCCGCGCTGCCGATTCCTGCCGTGAACGCTCCTTAACTTGCTATAGCCACTCTACTCGTACAAGTTTCGGGTATAGGTGTATCTGGTGGGGGGGGGGGGGGGGGGTTGGGTTGGGTAGAGAGAAGATAGTGGGGCTTTTTGTCACGTAAGAAGGCAGCCTGCCCCGCAGGGATCAGCGCCTGATCAGCTACATCTCATTTTCAGTCTCGTTCAAACTATCTTCTCTTAAAGCACTTCTACTGAGTGCACAAGAACTCATAAGCAAGGGTGGGACAGTTAAGGACATGGACAAGGTGTGGAGTGGACACCTCCTGCTAAGTGATGTTAAAGGGGCGGTGCAACGATTTTCAGACTTCGGTCAAAGATTTCTGAAAGTTGCCCCCTGACACTTCTGAAGTAAAGAACAGAAAACCGATTTCGCCTGCGTGTCCTAGTTGTTGCGTAAAAAAAAGATAAATATTGGCATTTCGGGCACCCCTCAACTCACTCCCAGTCTTCAGGGTCACATCTGGTCGCACTCCCAGTGACGTCATTCGGAGTGCCGTGTAGCTTCCCGTGTGCTGTCTCGGAGGACGCTTCCTCTCCCTCTCTCTACTGACATTAGCGGGCGTTAGGCTGCAGGTTAGAGCCGAGCGAGGTCACGTAATCTTTCCGCCGTAGTTCCTTCGGCTGTCACTTGGGGCTGCAGGTGGGGGAAAAAGCTCGACTTTTGCTTTGGGATTATGCAGCGGAATCGCGACATTTTTAATGAAGGAAGTGTTTTCTCTATCCTCCGGGACACGATAAACAACGTAAAAGTGACGAGATGCAAATTCTTTTAATCATAAAATCGTTGCACCGCCCCTTTAACTTTAAACTGCCCAAAGTACTCGAGCGCATAAAAGAAATGGACTCTGCCCTTCAAACTGTGAAAAAAAAGGTGAACGGTAAACTTCAGTTGTTTCCAATGTACACAGATTCAGCTTAGTCAGAACCTTTTTTTTTCTTTTTGAACATGGAAGCCTGTGGGCTCTTCTAGTCAGTGTTTATGCTGCATATGTGTTAGTGGCTGTGATATTTTTAAGACTATATATTTTTCCATCTAAAGTGATATAGATATAGCTTTGTATGTTAACTTGAGTGTAGGGATTACCATATTTTATGAACAGGGATTAAGAACATTTGTATTTAATGAAAACAGGTCAGCAAGGACTGCTTTATTTTGAAACATGTTGCGGTACCTTAATTTTTTTATGGAGACACGCAATGCACAACATTTTATGGAGTATATAAGGTTGCATTGCTCTTCTAGTCGATGCTTAAAGTTGCATATGTACGAGTGACTGGTATTCTAAAGATATAAAATACACATTTTGTTTTGCATCTGAATTTTCGTCAAATGTCAGTAGTCTTGTATTTTGTTACTAAACTTGATATAGGGCTTTTTAAGCAGTGATTGAACATGTGTATATTTTATTAAACAAAACCTGTAGTAAGCGAAAGTAGTTTATCTGACACCTTGCAGTGGTTTAGTTTTCTGGATACATGTTTACAATTGGTCTATTAAATAGACGGTTTTGTACTGGCGTGGCTCAACTTGTGCTTTTATTGTCGGGGCCTCCCATATAAAGTCTGTCATGACTACGCCTGCTACCGGAATGGTTTTCGAAGCCTTTCCTTTGCATAAATTGCCAATATTTCATATTTCAATGCAATAGAAATAGAAATGTATGTATGTGTCTTGCTTGAAAATTATTCTGGGATGTGCATGCATATATTTTTGCTACATTTTCACATTTAGAAACAACAAATCACATTTAGACACCTGTTCGACCTCCGTGACCTGCTCCAAAACCTATTTTTACGGCTACAAAACTTACTTTTGCTGCTCCCGAGCTGCTCTAAAGCGAGCCTTTTACTGCTCCAAAACTGCTCCAAAGTGGGACTTTTGCTGCTCCCAGCCCTGCTACAAAAGGCTCTAGCCCGCTTCCACCCCTGCAATTGCAATTTGTTTGGGTAGCTCAAAAAACGTCCGGAGTACCCTTTCAAGGGCTGTCCGAACAGGACGTGATTTCTACAGGTACTGCATTACTGGAAGTGGAAGCTTTCCTCCAGTTTCGGTTCTCTTCTGGTCCGCTTCCGGTCCAGGAAAAAAGCTTCCCTCCGCTTGTGTCCCTGGACAAAGGCTTAGAGCACGCTTATCACGGGTGTTCGGAAAGTCACTCACCCGCTCTGCTGGGTGTCATAGCCTCCGCTGTTGTCGGTGTCCAATCTCCCGAAAACAAAGAAGGGAAAGAGATGAAAGTGAGGAGAAGGAAAACGGTGCAGTTTGCGTGGTTGATGTCCAAACTGAAGAGACAGGTGCATGCTGCATTCCTCAAAAAAAGTGTACGCTTTTTGGCAGTGACGGCATTTGTTGTTTCTTGTTGGGACAGCCCTTTAGACGGCCTGCAACTTCAAAAATATTTTGTGCATTTCGTTGTCACCGCACGTGATCACGCAGAAGAGGTCGTTGCAGACCAAAACACTCATTCTTACCGACAATTTTTGCGAAGGAAAAAAATAAATAAAACTGATATCACACTGCAAATATGTTTTCTGGGTATAGTTGTGCCTGCATAGGTTGTGTTTCAGTAAATATTCTGGCAAGGCCAAAATCTCTCTCATTGTTCCTTTAAATGGACTTTTCGTAGAGAGAGAGAGGATGATAAATAATCTTTGCTTTTGTACGTGTTTGTAAAAGTAACTGTGAAACAAATTTTAAACAGCCTCACACAGATCTTAACGACCATAGTCTTAAACGTGGATCATTGCCACGTCCATAGTGGAAGGTAAAAATGTTTTGCCCACAATGCGCAAACAAACGATAGCGAGAGCTGTAGCACGGTTGCACAATGCGGGTGGAATGGTGCCGTCACATACCTGAGGGTGGAGGTGCAATGTGATTGGCGTCATGGTCCATGCCACTGACGACCGCCACCAATGCTCGGTGATTCGTGAAGTAAGTGGGTAAGCGGAATGGAAGTTCCTAAAACCATCCAACATTATGTGTAGCAACTGGATACTGCCAAAGTGGGATTTCGCATAACGTGAGTAATGTTTGAAAACAAGTCTTTCAAGCAGACGACACAAAGATTCTCCCTTCGTCGCGCCATTCTTGGCGCGACGTCAAAGCTGCTTGACGTCCCGCAGGCGACGACAACCCACGAGGTAGAAATCTCTGCAAAGTGTCGCCCGTAAAGCTATTGCTCTAAAATAGTGGTTCTCAACCACTGATGCTTTGCGGACCTCTTGTGGATCGGCAGAGATGTTGGAGGAACCCCTTTGTGGAGAGGGGAAGCAAAATGTATAGGTTAATTATGATAATGATTTAATAAATGCATATTACAAAGTGCTGTGTGAAGTAGACTTCTCTCATTGATATACACACGAGAAAACTCAAGCGAAATTGTGAACATTTTTTCTCAATCAGAAAAAAACAATGTTTATTGCCGGGCTTAATTGAAGAGGCAGGGCTTTGTGGACTTCTAGAATGCCTTCGCGGACCCCAAAGGGTCCACGGACCCCCATTTGAAAACCACTGCTTTAAAACATGTTTGCTACCCCTTTGCTTCATTAATAGAGCAACGTTTCTCTCGGTGACTCAGAAATGTGGTCTACTTCTAGCAGACAACACGGAGAACACCGAAGGACCCAGTACAGTCACCGTATCCAGCACACTCTCCGGCGCACTGGACAGAACATTGGTGAGAAAATGGCTGTTTCATTTATGCCGTGTACATGACTACGCTACATTGGACAATGAAATGGTATTGATTGATTTATACTAGCTGTATATTACACGCTAGCGAATGAGCACATAAGGGCAAAGCATTATATTCACTGTGAAGCTTTGAAAATAAGAGAAGAATATTTTTAATATTTTTTTCCTCAGGAGAAGTTTTAGGCTTTCTCACGACAGACCCAGCGGCCACGTGGTGTTGAAAAAGTCACTGCCGAATGCAGCTCGTGGATTGGAGACTAACATGTGCCTCCAGTAGGCTTGTGGTAGATAACAATCAGTCCGCTAATAAAATATTCAGGCTTCCATTTGCGGCCATTGATGTGGCAATGGAAACCGCCGCACTGTAACTATATCCCGAGCACTGAACATGGCCCGTCCAGGCATGTGATTGGGACGAACATTGGTGGCGCGGATTAGCAAAAGGAACATCTAATAGCGTGTCATGGATACAAGTTGAGGTTAATGCTGCTCAGTGTTTTCTAATGTTTCCTCTTAGTTTTAGCTAAAAAGAAACGCATGTCTCATAAATAAAATTCAGTTTTTTCGAATAAATCCGAAAAACTCAGAAAAACGCACATGGGTAAAATTATGGTCAATTCAGATTTATCTGATAAACTCCAAATTTTGATGTACCAATGCCTGCTCCCCTCCTTCAATAAAATACAAAGTAATAAGAATTGGTCGGTGTATACACGAACTCATCTCTGTTACGTCACGGCGCGGTGGTGGCGCGTCGGACGCACTTCCGGTCTGGGGCTGTGAGCGGAAGTGCCCATTTGAGACGTGTATTCCTGCGTTCTTTTGAAGGGAACCAGACAAAAACCTGCCTTGTCGTCAAAATGCTGCGACTGGGGCTGTACCAAGAGAGTCGAGAAAGGTTTGAAGGTCAGTTTTCATGCGCTCGGTTCGTCCGAGAACGCGGATATGTGCCGTGAAAAGGGAAAACCAGACGCCGTCGGACCACGATTGCTTGGGCGGGAAGCATTTTGGGTTAAATTGACGGATACTACTGGCCATCAAATTTATTTGTTTGGTTCCAAAACGAACGCCGGAAAACCGTCAAGTTGTACGGACCACCTGCGGACTACGTTTAGTGCGTCTTCAAGTTCAAACGGTCGCCTGATCGTTCGAACTGTCGTCTGCTCTTTCAAACGTTTCTGCTTGTCGTCTGCTCTTTTAAAGGGCACCGGCCCGTAGACCAAACGTGGGCCCGCTACTTGCGATAAGAATTAAGTGCAGGCCTTAAAAGACTTAAGTTTGAAGGTTGGTAAGCAGGCTCGACGTAAACACTAGATAAAAGGAGATGTTGATCATTGTTACCAGTGGCCATCACCGACTTGTTATGCCTGATTCACTTGGTTAGATTCTGCTTGCGATTTTCAGTATCGACGTCGACCATCTCAGCTACGGTTCACGCTTTTGCAGTCCGAGCGACGTCGCTACTGAAAATTGCGAGCGAAATCTCATCATGTGAATCAGGCTTTAGCGTACGTTCGGCGGCATCCACTCGGAATGAATCGCCGCATGCCAGATTATTCACGCGAAGTTTTGCGGTGTAACGAGCCTGGTTAATTTCGCTGACGCTGCTCAAGTAGTCAGACATCGTTAGGAGGACGTAGAATCAACAGTTCCAACGCGGAAAAGAGCGGGGGGCTCACACCGGCGCCGACAACATCGCATTTCAATGGTTTGTTTATGGGCGACGGCGAGCTTTTTGCCCACACCCTCATCGCGCATGCGCGGCGCCGGTGGCGTCCGCTAGGGGCGCTCCGGGCGCTCCGGTTTGTTTGTAAACATGAGTTGGTGTATAGGTTTACTATGCTGCACAAATTTCCGTAGAACTACGGCCGCAGCTGAAGAAACGTTCAAGGGCTCCTGCTGCATGACGATGTCGGGTGCGCAAGAAGCGAGTGCCCGTGGCTTGGAATCTGGTAGAGGCAAATGTGTAGTCCCCCGCGCCGCCATCTCCGAGGTGCATGTACGGAATTGCGTGCGATTGTTTTTAACGCTTTGCCGAGTCGCGCTAGAAAGTCGTGTGAACTAAACGTGCTGCAAAGCATGCAAACTCAACTGCTCGGCTGCGCTGGCGTAGCTCGGCCGCTGTTTAGAGCAATGAGCGAAGGTTGTCGGATCACGACTGTTGGAGCAGCGTCCATCGCCATTTCAATCAGACAGGAGCACGTCGCGTTGAAGCGAGCAAACGAGCAAGCCAGCAGATAAGAAAAGATGCGTGTGCGCACTTCGCGGTTCTCGGCAGCAAGCGCCGCGTGTTATCTGTGTGACGTCCCTACAATTAAGTGTGATCAGTGTGCAGGGTCAATGGTCCTGAGAAAATGCTACCACAGTTATCTTTCAAATCTCGGACCATTGACAAGGTTCATTCAGAACAACAGGTCATAGTACATTCAGGCCACGACAAAAGCAACCGTTTTGGTTTCCGGTTTTGGCCATACTACTTGTGCTTCTTAGAGGGAGGAGAGGTTGTGCTTTTGTAACCGTGAAAGCTATGAACCATAGAGATTGCATAAAATGGGGAAAAGGGGGGGGGGGGGGGGCAGTTGAAGCTTCTCTATTATTGCACCTCGCGCGGCCGCTGGATAGGTTGATGGGATAAGATGAGATGAATACGAGCTTCCGAGCGAGTACCTCCAGGAGTTAATTGATTTTAAGATATCGACGTTTATCGAAGCAGCGCTTGTCTGCAACTTCTGTCTTTTTTTTTTTTTTTATTGCAAATGGCAATGGCACCAATGCCAAATCCGGCTAAAAAAATATTATCGATACAAGTGATTTTTTTTTATCTAGCTCGCATTTTTACTTAGATCTTTTTTTATAGGAAACATTGCAAAATTAAACTCAATATTTAAAAAAATTGGGAATCAAACAAATATAAACTGAATTTTCGGCAAAAATTAAACTCCGAAAAACACCTTCGGACTTTGGCGAAACATAAACTCCAAAACAACGGAATCCTGATAATATACTACAGACATCATTTATTGCCTTGGCAGTATTTAGCGAAATCGGGAAGAATGTTTATGGTAAGTGCAAGTAAATCCACAGCTACAGGAGCAAGCCACCAAGCTTTGAGCATACCTGCTGTATAACATGCTCGTACTGTGTAAACACTGTAAGGCCACGTGCTCACAATTTATATACAGGGTGTTTCGCGAAAGGTGGACAAATTCGATATTGCGAAAACTACTTGTCGCAACGAAAAAAGGCTTGTGTCGTTTTGGTTCTGGGCCAGGGGCCTATATAGGAAAGTTATTAAAGTCCGAGATAATTAGATTGTTAATTATTTTCGTGGAATTAACTTTTTTTTGTGTTTTTTATTGTGTTTAAGGGCATGGTTTCAATTAGAAATTGAGGCAGCAATTTACAGCTTTCTGAAAAACCGCACACATTCGACGGGTTTTTAAGTTTCGGTTTGCTATCGAAGCGTATCTCGGCCCCGACGGCACCGTGCCCCATGGAGAAATAGTGCAACCAACCTCTGCTGCGCTGTCCTCGCGCAACGCAGCAGAGACTGGTTGCACTATTTCTCCACAATGCACGGTGCCATCGAATTTCTGCAATTTTTTTATTTAGTGTTTTTCAGTGATGCTGAGCAATTTTCTAATTGAAACCATGCCCTTAAACATAATATTAAGAGTTAATTACGCATAAATAATTAACAATCTAAGTATCTCGGACCTTAATAATTTTCCTAAATGGGCCCCTGGCCCAGGACCAAAAAGACACAAGCCTTTTTTTGTTGCGACGCATAGTGTTTGTAATATTGAATTTGTCCATTTTTCGTGAAACACCCTGTATAATAAAACTGTAATAATTCTTGTCTTCAATTTTTTTTTTCTATCTTGAAACCTTGCAAATTTTGATAAGAGGCCACGCTAACCATGTCACTCTTTTTTACATTTGGAGTTCAGTGTCTTGAGAGTATAATGTATTTCATATTAATATAACAACAAAACTAATGGACATGATGAAACTGCATTTTCAGAAAGAGCAGCTGTTGGAGCAAGACATTCAGGAAATGAAGAAGCAAATGCTGATGTTAGAATGCGAGCTTCAGCGGACGACTGCCGGGAATGGCTGCGGTGGGTCGATGCACCGTCCGTTTCCCCCGCAGTTGTTGGAGTGCAAAGTCAAAGATAGGGCCTCTAACTTTAAACCGACGCTGCAGATATGATTAGTCGACTTGTCATTGTCAATCGAAAGGACCCAGCTCTTAGTACTTTACTGGCTATTCATGTTTCTAATAATCACTTTATCTCTTGGCAGTGCCGCATGTTCATTGTCAAACATGCACATGGAAAAATGAAAAAAAGAAAGTACTAGGAAACCTTTTCATAAAGCAACTCTAGATGCCCCCTCCCCCCTCCAAAAAAAAAAAAAAAAGCTTAATACTTCTGTTGAGACACATTTTGAGTTGGGAGGGATCTCAAAACTTCTATTCTGAATTAGAAGAGTATTGGAAATGCTTCCTACTTGAAGTGTATCTTGCAGCATAAAAATTTGAGCTAATTGTTTTTTCTTTTTCGGGGGGGAGGGGGGGGGGGGGTGGGGTGGTGGTGGTGACACATTTCATATAGAAGCACTTAAGAAAAGTATTTGGGGATTTCAGTGTCCCTTTAAGTGATCGTCAATGCAAATGCCAACGAGACCTGCCACTGCAGATCTCGTTGGCATTTGGGACTATTCAACTCCACCGCCATTGTCAGTAAAAGAAACCTTGCTCTCTTAGTTATCCCTGCACTTCACTGGATGCCCACACTTCTAATAATCAGAGTACCTCTTTGCTGCGCAGTGTGTTCGTCAACGAATGGGCAGATCAGAGAGAAATGCTCGATCTATCTCAATCCTACGGATAATGTCGGTACACACACAATGCGTTTACGCAGCATTCTTAGGGGCACGTGGTGTACATTGGGATTTTTCTTTTCTTTGTTTATTGTGTGTTATTTTATTCCCAACTGTCCCTTTTTCCTGCAATGGTGGGCATGTCTTGGATTTCTTGTGTCTTCCTATAGACAGTTTCAACGCGAATGCCGTAACGCCAAACACTGGCGCCCAGCGATCGGCATTCAAACATTTAGTAAACACCTCCGTGAATAGAGACAAAGCTGGCTAGCTTTACGTCTACCCCCTAATTGGTGCAGTTCCACAACTCCGAGCTCATGGGGTCTATTCTCGTTGAGGTGCATTTAGAATTTTGTTTTTTCTCAACTTACCACCCTTTTGCACAGATTGTTTTCTGAAGTACCTATGCGTTGCATATTTCGTAACTGTTTCTGCGGCATTCCGTCACGCTATCCTTGGGGATCCAAGCCTTTAGACATGTTGTGTTTAAAAAGAAAAAGGAAAATGTTTGTCTACACCAGGGGTGGCCAAGCTGCAGCTCGCGAGCCGCATGTGGCTCTTCGGATATATTGAGTCGGATATATTGAAAGCTGTTCGAGTTTTGTTTACTGCAATACACGAAAGTCCCCCCCCCCCCCACCCCTTGCGGCTCTTGGAGGTTTCGTGGTTTCTTTTGCAGCTCTTAGGCCGGGTCAGCCTGGCCACCCCTGGTCTACACGGTCCTGGAAACCTTTCAAGTTTACTTGCCCATACTATAAAAATTGCTCGCCAATGCGATATTTGCGTCGACAGCTTCTAAGCCCACATCGTTTTGCTTGTGACTTGAATGCACACAAGTGTTTCTAGGATTAATCTGAAATCAAAAAGACGGATGTGCCAAGTCTTTCCATTCCACTCAAAAGGAAGCACCGGTATACAGAAACAAAGCACTTCATACATCCATTGGCAAATACCGTTCTCCTAACTTATGTTACGACGCGAGGACTTTGTGGTGCCAAAAGTAGTATTTTTTTTTTTTGCAGTTGGAGACCTCAACCAGGATGTTTTCAACGATTCAGACTTCAAAGAGAGTGAGGTAAGCAATCAATGTTTTAGAGCGCAGCTCTTAGGGGCCCGTTCCTGGCTTGAGCGGCGTCGGCGTCGGCGTAACCAGGGTCACCCCAAGGTCACGCGGCCCCCCAAGGTCATCCCAAGGTCACGTGACCCCCAGAGGTCACGTGACCCCTTCCCCAGGGTCACGTGACCCCCAAGGTCACGTGACCCCCCAGGTCACGTGACCCCCGCCGAGGTCACGTGACCTCCCCGATGACGCCATCATCACTGATGACGTCACCAGCATCCGCATCGTCATCATCACTGATGACGTCGTCAGTGACGTCACTGATGACCTCTCCGGCATCCGCATCGTCATCATCACTGATGACGTCATCAGTGACGTCACTGATGACCTCACCGGCATCCGCATCGTCATCGTCATCATCACTAATGACGTAATCAGTGACGTCACTGGTGACGTCACCGGCATCCGTATCGCCATCGTCATCATCACGGATGACGTCATCAGTGACGTCACTGATGACGCCACCCACATCCGCATCGTCATCGTCATCATCGCTGATGACGTCATCGGAGTCCGCATCGTCATCGTCACTGATGACGTCATCAGTGACGTCACTGATGACATCATCGGCATCGTCACGTGACCCCCCGGTACCCTTCCCTCCTCCTCCTCAAGGGCTGCGCTCTAATTCGGTGTTACAGGGAGTTGTAAACGGCTTTCACTTTTTTTCATTGCTTGCTTTTATGTTGTGTCATTGGTTTAAAGGCTGCAGGGCCATGGTGCCATTTTTGGATATGTTAGTTCCTTTAGAACAAAGGTATGCAGAGTGGTGGTCGCGACCTACAAGGGTTACGGGGACCACAGAAAACCAGGTCATAGTTAAAGGGATACTGAACCGAAATCTGGATTCCACAAAACACGTGGCAAAAGCGTGCAACGGGATGCTACAAACATCAAAACATCACTCATACAGCGATATCTCGAACGGATGACCATATTTTTCAAAAGGAGGCACATTGACAGAAATGTTCACGTCATGTTTCTCCGAGAAGGAAAGCGAACGGCCTCGCGTCTTCTCTGCCTCACCGCCTTGAAGGGGCGAAGCGATTAGAGGAGGAAACTAGGTATCTTCACAACACACGCCTCGTCGGCCTGGTTTAATCTCGACCTCTTTTTCCCAAAGTATGGCCATCCGTTCGAGACATCGCCTTACGAGTTGTATTGTAGGGATTGTAGCGTTCCGCCTTCATCTCCTGCATTGTTTTTTCTGAAATCCAAATTTCGGTTCACCATCCCTTTAAGCACCATCAGAGGGGCATCAGAGGGGGAAGAAGGTCTGTGCTTGTATTTTAGGGGTCACGGCCTAAAACGTTTGTGCGCCTCTGCTTTAAAGAATAACAACATATGAGAACCTATTCTGTCAATGTCACTCGTGGGTACCTTGGGGTAAACTTTTATAGTCATGAAGACTCGCTAAAGGAGACACGAAATGTAAAGACTGCAACTGGGACTCGCAGATTTCTGCCTTTGATAAGGAACTGATAAATATCATTTTTCTAAAATAACCGACACAATTCTAATGGCTCATTCAGAGTGGCTCCTGCGAGGCCACAGCCTGTTGTGGCACAAAGAAAGCCAATGTCTGGTTTTAATTTTCATAGCTGCCTTCACCATGTTGTTCCCTAACTATTTTGGTAAATTTTAAATTCGCATCTAAATACCAATACTTCAAAATGCGTTGCCGGAGCAACCACAACATATTAATGGCCACTATGAGAACCGAAATGCCGGACAAAGCAAGGCCTCCTGACACTATTCTGGTGGAGGGGTTTCTGCACTCAAGCCCTGCCTTTGCAACAGGAAGGAGAGCATTTGGAAATCAGCTTAGCACACTGCATCTGGTGCCGAATGTTGTCTACCGTGAATGCAGGAAGACGAGGCCAAGCGAAGTGCAAGTGTCCTCAACAAAGCTGCCAAGCCAACTGAACAAGGTTTGCCTTTCATCCAACAGCTCAAAACCTGAACCTATTGCCTCTCAGCCACTTGTACTGGGACTACCGTAAAATACCGGGCAAGCGCCCCCTCAAGATTTTGAGATAATCATGAAGAAATGGAGGATGGGCGCTTGTCTGGTCATCAATTCTACATATCAATGTACTGTGCATATTTTCTCAAATTTCACAAATTTGGGAATGGGCGCTTAATGTGGTATGGGCGGATGCACGGTATTCTACGGTATATACCTAAATTTTTCTCTTTAACTGCAGGGAAAGAAGCTGGCAAGGCGGACAACTGGGACAACTGCTTCTCCGACAGCGACGACGAAATGCCCGATGTCGTCCCTCCAACGCCTCCCAGGAAGCTAATTCTGAACAAAGAGCTCACTTTCAACAGGGGTGTGAAGTAGAAAAGGGACATAACTTGCAGTATGTGTATGTAAAAAGACTGAATGCAGTACTCGGGGCTCCTGCATTTACAAGAAAATGCCTGTTACATAAGAAAGGAAGTTTTTTCTTGTTTTGTTACAAAAGTGTAATGTTTCGTCTCTAGCATGCCTCCACAGGTTAATGAAGTTATGACACACTAGAAAGCCTTTAGTACCCATGCTCAAAATATATTTTCAATGACGTAGAGCAGCCGCACAAAATATATATCTAACGCAACTCCTCCTTCAATGTGAGACTTGCTGATGGATAGATGAGGAACAGTGCCAGCTGGCATGATGGGATCAGAGCTCCCATAAAGTTTGGGACCTGTAAAAAAAAATAAAAAGGCTTGTTTTGGGTCTCACTCATTGTTGCAGTGTCTGCTCATTGCAGATGGTGTGCTACAACATAGCAGGACTCAAGATTCTTGCGATTGGTAATATAGCTCTGCCTCTATGCATCTGCGCATCCTCAGTAGAATCAATTATGCAGGTGGTATGAATATGGTTGGTTAGAAATAGCAAAGCAAATAGTGGTCACAAAATTTGCAAGGGACAAGGAGATTGCATTCAAGGTCATCCCTGTAAAATGGCATAGCACTTCCTGCTTATCATCAGCAAAGGGGTACCACAACTAGATACTCATAGCCAAATGTTTGTTTAATGGCATCTATACATTGTCGCTTAGTGGCCACTACGACTATCTGATAAGAGGAAAGCTTGTAAGGCGGGCAGGCCAAGTATCATTAATAGGATGCCTTGTACTATACTCACATAAATGAAAACATCATCGCAGAGGACGCCGTACAACGTCCAAAGACTAGACACAAGGAAAGCCGACAAGATGAGAGGAAATGGAAGGCTTTCAGTACTTCGTGACCGAACAACTTGAGCCTGAAAAAGAAAAAAAAGCAAGCCTATGCATTAAGGGTCAGTAACTCTTACCACATTTAACTTTATGGTTCAGTGCAAATATTGTCATTTTGTGTGCGAGCCTTATAACTTGCAATGCCCACATCGACTCAAGCTCAGTTTTGTTCCCTACATGCTAGTTTTACTAGCTACATACAGTGTGATCCACTTATAACGATAATGAATAACTCAAAAATGCAGTCGCTATAACCGACTATCGTTTTATCTGGACTGAATACCCGATGCAGAAACGCGTGGTCTACCAGAAACTGATTGTTATAAGCAGTACATTGTTATATGTGGTATCGTTATACGTGGATGGCACTGTACTAGTCTTGCGTTAAGCATACTTGTAAAAAATGCACATCTGTGTAAGGAAATTGCTTCCACCCAGGTTTATATCTTATTTATTTTTGGCAAATGTGTTATGTTCATTTTGGTTGACAAATTCTGTGCAGCTTTTTTGCATTGCAAATAATTAACTGTTCCAATGCCTGTATGCTTTTGCACAAAGCTGCCCACATAAACAATCATTTACTTGTAACTACCATACTTAACTATAGCAATACCTAGTGGTTAAAGTAAAACCCTATGAAAGCGTCTTAGAAAGATTTCAGGTAGCCTTCAAAAGTGGGTGCAACTGCATCCATGCACGCACAGTTCACAGCCAAAGCGGAGTTTAGCATCTGAAACGTTAGTCTGATTTTACGTTCGGTGGGAGATTAATGAACCGGTAGAAGAGTAAAATACATCCCAAGTCTCTTACAATTATGTTGTCATTAGGTGGCTGTATACAGAAGCACAGGGATGCTCATAAACAAAACCAAACTCCAGCAGGAAATGCATGGAACTTCCATTACCCTTTGTGGAAGAGGCTGCCATAGGTTGAAAGAAACCTTATAAATCTGAACTGTGGAGTGCAGCAAAAGGTAGAAAATGACACTTCATTGAATTGTATCTGGTATCTACCACAAAATGTGAGGATCAGCCACTAAGTGGCAGACAGATTGCATTTGTGCAACATTCTTGTAGACAAAGATCTATTGTTCATCAGCCTGTGACAACTAAAACAGGAAGCAACGCCTGTAGCTTTTGCCTATCACCACTTGGGCTATATGATAAGAAGGGACGCATACCACAGTTGCCAGGGGAGACGAGAAGAAAAACAATGCGGCAGCACATCCAATAAAGCCAAGTATGTTGAGCGACGTGTCCTTATTTTTGACGACATAGTTCACTTCGCAGAAGATTGCGGCAAGTATGGCTGCCAGCGTGAACATTTTGAGGTGTAGGGGTCTCTGTGAAAAGAAACGAGCACAATGACTCCATTTGTTTCAATGCTTAAGTATTCAGCAAGAGCTTGGGCTAGAGTACTACCTGGGTACAGACTAAAGTCGCAGGATCCTGGGGAAAATAGCGCCAATGCCTTCCCTGCCTGCTGGCCGGACACAAACAGATACTAACATACAGACTATACCTCACAAGGCAATTGGCTGATCTGTATCCGTTGGCAATCGCCATTTTGGTGTCTTCAAATCTTCAAAAGGCTCATTCTAAACCAGTTGCGCCAAGATCACTATAGAGCATCATCATGCTCCAAGCATTCCTCGCCAATATAAGCATCTTTGGCACTGTGCATGCCATCAACATATCATTCATGCTTATCTCCTCGGATCTCTTTCAATATATTGTTCTTGCATATATCAAGACAGGGAAATTATTTTTTAATGCCACCAAACACCACGAAGCATCTGGCGGCAGTTGCAAAGATGTGTGCTTGTTTCGCCTGTGTATGGATGACTAAGTCTTGGTATACAAGAAATGTCTTTGTAAAGCAACTTGTCACCGGGATTTTGAATCTGCTTACCAAGAATGGAGAGGTCAAGGAGAAACTGTTCAATCCATGGACCACAACTGTGACCATACAAGGAGCTTGATGCTACTTTCCCACAATTCAGTGATTTTAGTATGGACCAGCCCACGGGCCAGGCTTGGGCCAAAGGGGTACAACTGTAACGGGCCCTGACTTAACATTTGCAAGCCTTGCTCTCAGTGTAAAAATATTGTGCAGTTGTTTGTAGGGGAGGAACGGAATACGGCATTCATAGACGGGGCATACATTCCCTTCCGGCTGTAAATGGGTAAGCGTGTGCCGATGCTGAATGCTTTTCCACCCCCTTCAACATTTTTGTCGGCATGCTTGTATGTTGATGCATTTGATGTTTGCACCTGTGCATAATACCCAATAGTGCAGCAAGTATAGATGTAACTAAAAAAAAATATTTCTCCCCCTCTCAAACAAGTGCACATGCAGGCACTAGCAAACCAGATAAGGGGCCGCTAAGAAGAATTTTCTTTTTTTTTAACAATTTGGTTGGGCACACATATCAAAAAATAAATTTTATGTGAAAAAAAAATAATAAACCAAGTAATATTGACGGCGAGAGATCTATTTGAAATTCTGTGCACGAAGTTCATGATGTATGGGTCATTTAGCAAAGACCATCTTGGTCGTGAAGGCGAAGCCAATCCACCTGTTTTCCATGTGCCTGAAATGCCGAGAGATAACGAGTGGAAAGGAGGTGACTGCTGACTAAATTGCGTCTCGCGCCGTCAATATTGCTCTAAAATTTTTTTTTTCCGTAAAATTAGTTTTTTGACACGCGTGTCCCAACCACTGTTATAAAAAAACTTCATTTATTCTTTCTCTCTCTCCTTCACCCTGAATAAATAGTATGTCGTTTTTATCAAGGTTACTGTGTCCAGGAAGTCCTGCTTCTATGAGGCATTTCTCAATCCACTGTGCAAGACTGTTCTCTCAACCCTTTTTTCTTTGGTCGTACAGAGCTGGAGTGGGTACTTCGTAGTTAGTTCGGACCCGCCGTAATGCTTTGTTTGCTTACCTACCAAGAGCACCATACACACGTTTCCGTTTACTGCTTCTTTTTATTTTCTGGTTTCAGTTGCTTTTGATGAGCCTGTTTAGTCGCGAAAGATGACGAGAAGTGAAAGAAAGGATGCACAGGCTATTTTGAACAAAAGGTATTAATAGTGAGAAAACCTATAGGGGTGTCTAACAGGCAAAAAAGAAGTTTCAAACTTCTTGATCCAAAAACGTCCGGTGTGAAAAAGGGCCCAACATAAAACATGCACGTGCTATGCATCCGTGCAGGGAGAGGAAAAGTACCTAATAAACTTCTTCCAAAAATTGCTGCACACAACACTGGCAACACTGTTGTAAAATAAAAAGAAGAAAACGTGGAGATGCCCGAGCCGGGAAGAGGGAAGGAAGAGCGACTTCGAAGACGAGCAGAAACCGAGGCACCAGCCCCTTTCCGGGAAACCGGGGAGAGGGACGGAGGGCCGCGTGGAGAGCGCGCCCCACCGTGGGGTCATAAACGACGAGCCCCCCTCTTGGACCGACGCTTGGTGGGGGCGACTTCGCCCTTCTTGTTGGAACGAGAGTCGAAGGAGGACGTGCCTTCTCTAACTTCACTTAAATGAGTTTTCAATATAATAAACCATGTTCTGTTACTCTAAAAACCAACGAGTCCTTTCCCTAATTCCACACTGTTAAAAAGTTGGTGCCGAAACCCGGGAATGAAGGAAATTAGGACATGACTTCAACGCAGAACATCCAACGACAGAAAAGTGAAAACGACGAACGAGAAGAAGGCAGGAGCCATCTTGGATAGCCATCTTGGATTCGCCAACGGCTGAGGCAACGAGAAGAAGGCAGGAGCCATCTTGGATTCGCCAACGACTGAGGAAACGAGCTCCGGATCATGGAACGACTCAAGGGGAAACGAACTGCACTGCGAACACAGGTGACCAAACTCCTTTCTGAAATTGATTCGTACATCGAAAGCAACGAGAAAAACGAAAAGAACCTCAGCATCTCCTCCGCAAGGCTTGGCGCCCTCCAAGCACAACTGAACGAGGTGGACGCCGCCATCGAGCCACTAGTGCCGGAAGGAGAAGCCGAGCAAAACTTTGTGCGAACAATTGAATACAATGATCGGGTCGTCACCTGTATTGCAACACTTCAAGAAGAGTTGAAGGAAGTCCGAGCAGGTGCACCACGAAATTTGGATTCATCGCCGATGAACAACAACGGAAACGCGACAACGACTGCCTGCCGAGTGAAGCTCCCGAAGCTCGAGCTACACAAGTTCGACGGCAAAAGCATCTCTCGGCAAGAGTTCTGGGAGCAGTTCGAGCAAGTAATACACACCAACGACCAGCTAACGACTTTGGACAAGTTCGGGTACCTGAGGGCTGCGGTGACCGGCGAGGCGTCAAGTGCCATCAGGGGTTTGCCTCCCACATCACGGTGCTACGAGGACGCCGTGCTTCTGCTGAAGAAACGCTTCGGAAATGAGGACGTCCTTGTTCAGACACATATGCGGAAGCTCCTAGATCTACAGCCAGTGCGAGACGCCGACGACGTCCGGGGTCTCCGTCGACTCTACGACACCATCATCTCCCATCTCCGAGGACTGGAGGCACTCGGGCAGAGGCATCAGACCTTCGGTGCTCTTTTGTTTCCTGTGGTTCAGCGTGCACTGCCAAAGGAAATCCTGCTGGATTTTAACAGAACGATCGTGAACGAGCAAGCATCGGACGTGTCGACGCTGGACGCTTCAGCCGGAGGGATGTCCACCGGATTCGAGGACTCTCAGGAACGACCGACGGAGACAAGCACCACTGAACGAGGTATCGTGACACTATTCTCACGACTGCTTGCCTTTTTGAGAGTTGAAGTCCAGAGCCGCGAGAACCTAGCTGCACAACAAGCTATGGACACGAGGCAACAGCCGCGTGGATTCAGTCAGAAGAAAAACGAGAAAAAGGGAAGTCCCAGAGAACGCTATCAATCCTCCGCAGCATTACTGCATCAAACAACGAGACCTGATAGCTGTTTCTTCTGCAAGGAAAAAAACCACGCGACAGCTGCCTGCTCTGCTGACATTTCGATCGAAGAGAAGAAAAGACTGCTGCGCTTGGAGAGACGATGCTTCCGTTGCACGAAACCTAATCACCGCTCGAATGAATGCAGAAGCAGCATGCAATGCACGAAGTGTTCGAGACGGCATGCGACAACGATGTGCGACCCAGGCTACACGTCAACCAAGGTAGAAGCAAACCGAAATGCGATAACGAGCGTCCCAGTGAATCTGGAAACCGCCACAGGCGAAGCTGCCGGGCCAGCTGTCCTTCTCCAGACTGCAACAATCTGGTGTGCAGGAGAAACCAACGGGATGTTCGTCCGAGCTCTCTTCGACGGAGGGAGCCAACGTTCGTTCATTACAAAGAACGCGTCCGAACGTCTCGAGTGCAAGATCTTGGGACAGGAGACACTGACCGTCGGAGTATTCGGCGGACACCAATCAGAACGAGTATTTAGCAGGGTACTGGTTTCATTAACGGCACAAAACGGCAAGATGCATAAGCTCGAAGTTCTTGAAACGGACGTGATATGCGATCAGAAGATCCCTATCCCAGAACCCAACCTAAAGAAACTACTCGGGCAATTGAAGATGGCCGACTCGACTAAAAACGAGCAACGTGGTGATATTGACCTTCTCATCGGCTCAGAGCACTACTGGGACCTCGTGACGGGGAAATCCAAACCACTAAAAGAGAAGCTAAGAGCGGTCGAGACTGCATTCGGATGGAGTATCCAGGGTCCCGTGAGAGGAACAGTTCACGACGTACAATGTACGCAAACGATCGCCCTCAAGACATCAGTGGCAACAGCTGAAGCAACAGACTGCTTAGAGCGGTTTTGGACACTGGAGTCAATCGGAGTGACTGAAGACGAAGGAGTTGACTCGGCAAAACAACGGCAGCTAGACTCCTTCGAGGAGACCATCAAACGAGTTGGTTCCCGATACGAAGTTGCTCTTCCCTGGAAATCAAACGTGAATCTCGACGACAACAGGGAAATAGCAGAAAAACGACTGACCCAGCTGACGAACCGTCTCCAAAAAACACCGGACCTGCTTCGCGAGTACGACGCTGTAATGAGACAGTACTGTTTGGAAGGAATGGCAGAGCCGGTAACGAGGAACGACGTCGACGAGCAGAAGCCGACCTACTACATGCCACATCAGGCGGTGCTCCGAGAGTCAAGCAGTACGACGAGGTTGCGCGTCGTGTTTGACGCTTCATCGCATGGCAACAGGTCGAGGTCACTTAACCAAAACCTTGAAAGCGGACCTAACTTGACCGCTGACCTCGTTGGCTTGCTACTCAACTTCAGAAGCCACAGAATCGCGTTGGTGGCAGATATCGA